TAACTGTCTCCAACAGTTTTCAAATCTTTTGCATGGTCACATCTGGAAGCTCTAAAGAAAGTTGTATCCATGACGCCAAAGACAGACTCCAGTCTTCCCAACAAGGTACAAAGATCTGCGACAGAATCGTTTGTAGGATCAAGCAGAAAAACATACTGTGGAGGTATGAGGCGCCGGAACCTATCTGCGTTAGGCTTTCGCGGAAACTGTAGTGACCTTATAATAGTCAGCAAGATCATCCGCCGGACAAGGCACGCGAATACAACAATCCTACCTATTACACTGTTATGATCAGACACCTTCGGAGCCTACACAGTACCATACTATGCACATTGACAAGTATATGCCATCGCTACGAAACTAGTTTTGAAACTTTTTAAGACCTTGCACGGCCTCAGATGGAGGTTCATAGCGTTATGACACCACCACACATGAAAAGATCGCTAATTTTGAGGTGGAAGTCCAGTGGCGAGCTATATAGTTTTGTGGGTATATAGCAGAAACCATACGAGGAGAGTTCGAGGGGTTTAGGCTTTTACTTTTTTAGTTGCATTATTTTAAGCGCGGTTGATTGATAACGGCCTCTGAGATACCAAGAGGCACGAACCACCCAAATAGTCGAATTTTGTCAAGCGGTGACGGTTGCTGTCCTCGTGGAAACCCGAAGAGAATGTTCCATCGAGAAACCAAAACCTGTCTACCCTCACAATTTTCCTCTGCTCTAGTTTGTGGTTATTGCAACGTATTACTGTAGGCAGTAGCCCTATCTCTTGACACCTTCGAGAGACTTTTAGACAGCCAAAAAGTGGCACATGGCTTGGGCTCATCTTGTTGGGATAGAGCGCGCCGAAACAGCCAAAAGATTTCACATCCCTCCAGCACAGTTACATTCACGCTAACTATCTTCCACTGCCGCTATTATCGTGGTCTCGATTTAATCTTATGTCTCCCAATAAAACGTCTGATCTCCCCAGCTGTCTCAGCTCTACTAATATCGTCATCTCTGCTTACATCATCCACCCTGCAATCCTCTCTGCTTCTCTTCCCCTTTGTCAAACTCCGTGGCAACACTCTGTTCAGTAACGTCCGTACCACTGTCTTCTCCCCGTCCTCCTTGACTTTATCCAAGTGTTTCCTTTCTTTAGGCTGTTTTTCCCATCACCCTTGCATACCAAGTCTATTTATTTTTACGACAATTACGAGCAAATTTCTGGTAATATGCCGTCTTAGGAACCTAGATGCAGCATAGTCCCACGACCTATATATTTAGCCAGAACCTAACAACACGTTGGGTCAACCAGAATGCAGCTAGTGGATTTATTGCGTTGGAATTCTGCGACGGCTTAAAAGAGAAGAGCATGACTTGGAAGTTATTGCGAATGAATTAATCGGTCCACACAAAATCGTAAAAAGGCATTGGACATTTAGATCACAAAACATTCATCCCACTACTGTTAAAACATGTAGGCTGTAAAAATTTTTTTACGTAATACATGAAGAAAACTGATTGACAATAAACAGTTCCCAAGAACCAAATTTGAGAGATAAAATCTGCCTGAGTCCTATATCCTCACTACTGAAGTTAGATGTCGGTTCTCGGCGCAAGGTATAACGATGGTGTAACATGACAACTTATTTACCGTCAGTGCTTTGGAGATTTTATTTCACTGCTATCTATGTCCATATTTATTCTGGTGTGGCTGTTCAATAAACTAAGCAGTGCTGTGGGTCATTAGCTAATGTCCTATGGCCGATTATGGTAGTTACCTTCCCAGTCAACATTTTAAAATGTTGAATTCACGAGGAAACGCGGGACCATCAAGGAAAAATGCAGGGCATTTCGGGGGGAAACGGGGTCAAAAAGCAAGAGTGAAAAGGCTGGAGGGGTATTGTTCCATAATCCTGCTTTTTGCCCCGAGTTTTCATTGCATTTTTCAACCTGCTCTTTTATTCAGCGAAAATGTCTGGGCCTAGCATTAAGGATACAGTCGATAAGCCTCCACATTTCAGTGAATATCAGTTGTAGATGTATCTTACAAATTTTTTAAGCTTTATGCTCAACTTACTTTGGGCACACTTTCGGACTCGGTCCCAGTCAAACCATAATTATGGTTCCGCATTAATGCGGAAATAATGCTGGTGAATGCTCAAATAATGATGTAAATGGCGTTAATATTGCTAGTGAGGCGTAAGTAATACGAACTGTGTCTAAAAATTTCCTTAAACTGCTGAACTAATCCGGATATTGCTGAAATAAGGCGGGAATTGTGTGTAAATAAAGCTGCGTTTACGCATGCACGCTTAAATTATTCTCCAAGTGCGTAAATTATGCAAGTATTCCGTAAAACTCCTCTTAAGCGTCACATTTCAGCATCATTCCACCATTCCCAATCAATACACTGGTCTGCATTATTTCCGCATTCATGTTTGACTGGGGTAGGATTCCACTCAGGGCACTTAAGTCACCCACATCTTCAGTTATTTTCGATTGAAAATGCATTGTAAAGATTTTCAAGTATACAAATACACCGTATTACAAAAAGAACCACGTCTAAGAATATTCTAAAACATGACCTTTTAGATTGAAGTGAAATGATCCCTCATAAGTTTCGGGCTCACTTCCAAGACTTTAGGAATTTAGGGACTTTTGACGATTTCTGGGTAAAATCCATGAAAGATATTGAACAGCTTTATGTGAGCTCCAATCGTTTTCTATGGATTTCGTCCATAACCTCCTGTGTCCCCGTAGTAAATGTTGGCTGAAGTGTTAACAGAGAATAGTTTGTACAATCACTCAGTCAGGCTGAGTTTGACCTCCTTGTTAAATGATTTTTGCTTTACGTCGTATTGTTCAAGCATATATATTGAAGAAAAACAACAGTATAATGTTAAGTTTAACATGCGCTAAGTCTGTAAGCTGCTCTACACATATTACCCGAGGTTCAAGCAGTCGAGAATTAGTTTTGGTGTCATCGTAGCACAGTTTGATATCTTTGTGGATAGTTTCCTCCCACTATTTTGAGAGTTGCTGCTCCTTCTGTGTGTCAGAATAGACTTCAAAGCAGATCACAGAATACATTCACATGTCACTACATAACGAGGATTCCACGAAATTAGGCTCTGACAACTTTTCTAGGATAGTTTAGTCACCTACACTCTCCGTAATATTATGGCGATCGATGGGACATGTGGTTCATAGAAACTTGTAATAGTGAGTCTTACGTATTTAGTAAATGCTAACTTCACTACTAATGGATTAGAATTCTTGAGATATGCATGAAGTTTTCTGACAAGGTTTGTTTAAAAAGACACTCCTAGTATATCGCGTAATGCTACATTTATCATTCAGAACCCTTTTATTGCTATAATCGTATTCACTTCTGAAGGGTTCAGTTGTTTCAGGCTCATCCGTTAGACCTTCAAGTTACAGATCGTGGGTTCAAATACCGCTTTGTGTACTGCAGCCTGGGTAATCAGGTCGTGTAGTATCCCCTCTTCCAATATGTGGCTCGTAGCATAGTGTATGTACGTGTAGTGGGTTATTGCATATTTATATTCTTGATTTATTATAAGGCCATGCGTTATTCTTCGTAACGGCAACAATTTAGTCACCACATGAACGACACTATCGACGTTACTTGAAGCTTTTTTCCGCTGTCATACGGGGTTTAGTAAATTTCGTCCACGGAACACTTTGTAGCACTAGATGGAGTCTGACAGTTCAACCATTAGTGCCAGTAGTTCACACAATTTTAAAGTGATTACCGATGTACGTAGCTGTTTCAAATCTTCCCATCCCTCCATGAAGAGTAGCACGCCATGTAGAATAATTTCTGTCACTAATGTCAGACGAAAGCTAAATTGCTGTTACTAATGTTTTTCGATGGGAAGATAGATCTGGTTACCACTATTTTACTCTAGAATCCCCTTACATTACTGTAAAATGACCCTTGAGTATTTCTCTGTACGAAACATTTTTCATCATGACTGGCAGTAGGAGATCATTCAGGGCATGAGAAGAAGATAAAAGTATTTGATAAGTTCCAGTTCTACCTTCTCAATGCTGTTTTCTGAATATTTTAATGTCTAATAAAACTCTGCTGTTCGTAGTTTATCTGTATCGTCCCATCACAGAGGTTTGGTATCAAGCAAACCGTCGTTACCACAGTGTTCTAGATTGCCTTTCATAGCTAAGGCTTCTACTAACAATCGGTATGAGCTTTTATCACGCCTAGTGGATGTCATTTCGGAGCTGTAGGCGACCGGAGTAGACTACCACTAGTTGTAGTAACATAATGTTGGAAGTGTGGTACAACTTTTGCATTTGCCTGAAATCTCAATAAACTCACTATTTTTTTTCTTCATTCCTTCTTTTTGTAAACCACACCACTTTTTTATTAGTCAAAGCACGTGATCGTACGTATTTCAAAAAGTATTGTTAAAGAGGAATTTAGTGTACTTCTCTTTGAAGTCTGGTATTAAAGATCAGACGCTGGAGCCACATTAGGTACGGAGAGAGTAAACTATATTAAGTCATTACACTGTCGGTTGATGGTTATGAAGTTCAGTGGTAGGTAAGCAATACCATACGATCATGTTATGCGGTACTGCAGTATCATATTTTTTGCAATAAAGGGAAGTCGGTAATCAGAGATTACTAAACAGGTACATCATCTTAAAGACCCTTGTTAGTCATTGGTAAGTGCTATTAAAGGCGAGGGTTTTGAACCTTTTGTGGTAATCTTATGATATCAACAGGTCATAGGAAATACAAGAGACTAAAAATGCAAACTCCCAAATAATTCAAGCGTATGGTCTATTTACGTAACCTCTTTCTTACTGCAATGAAGAAAATGTAAAGCGTATCGTCGTTGTAACATATTCACATAGAATTAAGTTCTGCATTGACTAATTGTTTACCCAAAGACACTTCAGTAAGTTGGTTATTTTTGTGGGGCGTAGTGTAAATGCAGCACTCAGAATGAAACCGTGAATAATTTGGATACGATACCCTAATCATATCCTACTCAGAAACCCTATACATGGGTTGTAATGCCCAGAAATCATCAGCCGGGGTTTCATTTTTCTTAAAGCCTTCTATAATTCATGTCACTTTATAGAAAGCAAAAACTGTTAAATCCTGTTGGGAGCGATTGTAATGTAAAATTTAATATTACGGTTTGTTCGCTAGAACACAAACTCGATGCAAAACCGGCACTATGCAAAATAACAAAGTAAAATTATGAAGATAAAGAAGACGGAATGGAGGATGGATGCAAAAGCAGTAGTTGGTTATTTTAAAGAAGGAGTTGTGAAAATGCATTTGAATAAGCATTCACCACCTTCATTTTACGCTTAAGTAGTAGAAGAACCAAGAAAACTGCAGAACGATCGCCATTATTTCCCATTGTGGGTCGTATCTGCTATCGTCCTAGATTGAGTTACATGATTTCTCAGACCCTATGCACGAGGTCACAAGGGACCTAAAAATGCTAACTTAACAAATATCTTTCATCCCACTGCGCCACACCATACACTGGTCACCTTCGCTTTCTTCTACTCAGTTCCAAAGCGAGCGGTGTCGGAACCACCAAGATGATATGCGTAATACATGTCCAAACCACAGAAGTTAGTATTTCAAGATGACACCCAAGAAATGACCACTTCAATCTCGCCCGAACACATGCCACCTCATGACTACTTAAATGGTGTTTCCACCGAATGCGAGCGATACTGCGAAGAAAAAGGTAATCGAAAACGCTGATTTGTCGGACATCCTCAGCTTGTTACGGCTAGGTCTCACAAGAGTAGAACGGAAATGCCCATATCAGTACACTGTAAACTAAACGTTTTGGAGGAGGGCTAGCATAACGATGGCGCCAAAAGTGACGGATTGGTATGTTACTCTGGTTTCGTACACGTGGTTAGAGATCGTATCGCTTACTCCTTCCTCACCAGGCACACAACTACCGAGGTATAAAAACTTTTTAACTACCTCAGGGATTCACCAACAAAAGTGAGTGCTGGCACAAGCTCCTAGTAATCTTGTAAAACCCGTTTGCTGGTGCAAGGCACATGCCATACTTTCGAACACTGATTGAGTAGCGTATTTGCTGTCACACTGTAAACCAATTTCATCCGCATACTCGAGGTTAGAAAGTCTTCCTCGTGATAAGGAGTCTACACTACCACCGTGCACTTCCGTCAAGGCTATCTCGAGAATTTCATCAATGGCGAAGAGAGGAACGGTGGATCCGAGCCCTGTTGGTTTGAAACAATGGATATAGGTAGCTTCAAGCTTCCGCTACTTGAGGTGTTAAAGTATAGGGTTATCAAGATGTTAAAAAACTCCTCAGGGACATCCCGGTCTAAGGTAATCTTAAGCAGGCTTAATATTGAGGAATACAAGATTTGTTAACCTGCAACATATCTGATGGTGCTCGAGTACCTGGTGGCCACGTGACTAATTTATCCCCAACCTGCTTCACTGTACTCTCACTTCTACAGGAATCAATTCCCAGATTTTATCGTAGGAGCATCTGATTAATCATTCTAATTGGGCTTGGAGAACAAACCTAGATTTTTCGCTATATAGTTCAATGCCCAAGCATGTAAAATAGCTTCTCGTAGTGAGAAGTTTCGTTAAACAGGAAAGCATGTTAGTCGTGTTGCTTAGATATAGATAAAAAGTGCTCTGATATTTGATTATAAACAATCTTGCAGTTGTAAGCTAACACTGCCTTTCTTATACGCTTATCGTCTCGTCCATTCTTCAAATGCAAGTTCAGTGCCAAATGGATTCCTAAAGTATTGTGTTGTTTATTTCCAACAGACAAACTGATCATTGCGCTTGTATTTGTAACTATCTTAAAGGTAGTAACAGAACACATCCAGTTTCTTTTTTACATTCGATTTTAATATGAAGACAGTTTTTAATGGGCTTTGAAATTGTCCGTAAGGATTACAGAGAACAGTCTAGTATATACATCCCGGAATCGTATAATCTACTAACCACCAGAATCGGTGACCTAGTAACTAAGGTAATAGTTAAGAATTCCGCATTCATATTGAGAACATCATAGTGTCAACGGTTATACATCAGTGTAGATAGCCAGCCACAAAGCGTCTTTAATTCCAAGGACAGGTTGTATTGTAATATAAACGAACTAAGTTTATGCCATTAAATAAGCCGTACCTTTTGTATAGGGATTAGTAATTTTACTCAGTGGTTCACATTTCAGTGAACGGAATAGCACTCAAAACCATGACTTACTGTTTACATGTCAAGTGTCTACATAACTAACCAGCAGCAGTATACATCTGTAGAGTTTTTGGCAAAATGATACTGTCCTAAGGTCATATCATCGTTTATATTGAAACTAAACCCAAAGTCATTATTTATATCTCCACAGCAACTAATTAGGCTTTAATTATTTCTTATGTATGCTGTTTATTTTTTTCTCTCATCTGTTTGAATATGTACTCCGTTCTCGTTGTACCGTTCATTATAAAGAAATAGATTACGCAGTGATGATAATTTTGACAAAATAGGCAATGTTCATTGGTGGGATTATGAACTTTCATTAGCTGACAAGGTAGGTGGCTTGAAGATGTACTGCGCATCTCGAGCTACCACTGCCTACTTCGATGTGCAATTCCAGGTGAGGTTGAAAGAGAGATCAGGGTGGCTACACTAAGACGTTATACCAGTCTCTGACTTTTGTTCCAAGCCATGTGGAAAGGTGTAAACTACCTGATTATAGTCTCTGAGACGCAAGAAATCATTGGTTGAAAACTCTTGGTGACATAGCTGAAAATCGGTCACAATGGCGCATAGATATTCACTCTTTGACGTCTTCTAAAGCTTGGATATTTGCACTAACCTTTATCTCTCATACTACTTTGTCTATCCATCTCTTCTTTGTGTACGACTATGAAGTGTGACAACTTGAGCCGATATATGCGATATTCTACGTTGATTTTGTCTGTCTCCAGTTTGATTACGAAGTTGAATACTTGCTTTATCAAAGCACCTTTTCAACAGGGTTCATCTACCATAAGTTTTATTATACTACTTTTCAAATCCTGTTTTATCGATAAGTTGCCCTAGTCATACGTTATTTCACACTAAGATCACACACCCCTCCTACATGGATGCAGCTGTTTATATATGAAACACTAAGCATGTGATGGTTGAAACCAAATATGAAAACTAGAGTCAATTTGTCGAAATGAGATGTATGTGAAGTGTATATTGCTCATCCTAGAAAATAAATAGTTCACTTAGCAAGAATAAAGAGTATTCATCATTTTATTGTAATGCGGGAAAGCAGCAGGACCAGATGGAATCCCGTCAGAAGCACTGAGAGCAGACGCAGAGACAACAGCGGACATGCCCACACCACCAATGCAGAAGGTCTGGAAGGAAGGAAAGGTACCTGCAGATTGGAAGAAGGGCTACACTGTCAGACTCCCGAAGAAGGGAGACCTAAGTCTTTGCAAGAACTGGCGCGGAATCACGCTCCTGTCCGCCCCAAGCAAAATATTAAGCCGCATCATCCTGGAGAGACCGATGGATGCACTGTATTCAAAACTACGACCGGAACAGGCTAACTGGCTGGATTCAGGAAGTACAAATCATGTGCGGACCAAATTGCAACGCTACGCATCATCATAGAAGAATATAGAATGGCAGTCAACTCTCTACCTCAACTTCATCGACTTTAAGAAGGCCTTCGACAGCATCGACCGACAATTAATTTGGCAACTGCTCCAACGCTATGGAATACCGCAAACCTTTATCAACCTCATTCAACAACTGTATGAAGACGCCAAATGTCAAGTAATTCACAACGGAAAGCTCAGTGACGCCTTTGAAGTGAAGACAGGGGACAGAAGTAAGACAAGGCTGTCCACTATCACCCATGATATTCCTGATTGTGGTCGATTGGATCAAGCAGCAAACACTGAGGAGCGAGAAGAGGGTGATACGCTGGTTCGGGGATAAGATCCCAGAAGATCTGAATTTCGCCGATGACTTGTGTCTAATGTCGCACAAACTCGAAGATCTACAGGCGAAAACTAACAAGTTGACAGAAAAGGCAGGGCAACAAGACTGGACTTCAAGTGAACGTAGAGAAAACAGGTGATGAAGATATCCAACCAACGCCACTAACAACAAGCTGCAATCACCATGAACAGGAAAAACTTAAAGGAAGTAGCCTCTTTCATCTATCTAGGCAGGCAGCATCGTTTCAACTACAGGCGGCGGCACAGACGAGGACGTCGAAGGCAGCCAGGATGGGAAAGACAGCAAGACAGGCGTTGATTAGCCTGAAACCAGTGTGGAGATCTCCTGCACTCAGCATGTGGACCGACATCCGGATTTTCAACACCAACGTCAAGTCAGTGCTTCTATATGGTTCAGAGACTTGGAACGTTACGAAAGGCATTTCCAACAAACTGCAGACATTCATCAACAAGTGCCTACGCTGGCTCGTTACTGAAGATCAGAAAGAATAAGCATTAGACCTTCAAGTAACGGATCGTGTGTTCAAATGACGCCGATTGGTGAAAGCCTTCGGGAAGCCAACTGGCCGATGTGTCTTCTCTCGATGAAAGTGAAAGTAAGGATAGGGACATGGAATGTCTGCACTATGTTTGAACCTAGCAAGGCTGCCCACATTGCATAAGAGATGAGAAGCCTACGCTTGTTACTGAAGCTCGGATGGCCAGAAAGAATAAGCAACAAAGAACTCTGGCTAGCCGACGAACCAACCAAGAACCTATCGCTGAACAAATATGCAGAAGGAAGTGTAGATGGATTGGGCATGCACTGTGACCATTCGGGGACATCACGCCCCAGGTCGTGGAGTGGAACCCAGATGAGAAACGACGAATTGGGCGTCTGTGATGTGAGGAAGAAATGAGAGCTTCTGGGCAGTCGTGTAGCCAGGTTCAAAAGATTTAAGAGAGTGGAGTGGAGACGTGCTACCAAAGCCGTATGTTCCACTAGGAGCCCAAGGGACAAATAATAATACAATAATAATAATTTTGTTGTACAATTACATATCCAATGTAATTACATACATGTCCTAAAGCTTTCCCCCTTCTTTTCTTGTCTTTTAGCGATATATTTAAGTGAAGACACTAGACAACTTACTTCATTCTGAACCCTACAAACAGAGGAATGTTACTGTCACGTAATAGCCTAGTGCATGAAGTAATGCTTTTCTTATTCGATCTTGTTTGGAGGGTGAGAACACATCTGATATTTCATTCATATGAAGCATTTTTTCTACTCAGAATCCAACGACGTTGAATATATAACAAATGAATAAATAAATCTGTGAAATATATATATATATGTATGACAACATTAAAACCGGTTATCTGTTATGAGGAAATATACATGTATGTCTCTGTGTGTGTGTGTACATAGAATATGAATTGAATAAACTCTGCAAAAATATATTTATATGTGATAAATCTTGTTTTCAAAATGTTAAAAGTGTAAATTTTATGAAGACTTTTGAAGTAAGGAATGAATGTATTCACTAAATTGACTACATCTAGGAAATTTTACCATCTCTGTTAACAGAGATGATGAAGTATCATTTTGAAATGATGATAAATCTGATAGTATAAAGCTTTTCATTAATTCATCTTCATTTCCAGGTAGTGCTCTATAAATATCAATGAAATAATATGGTATATATGTGATTTTATTGTTACAGGTTAACTTTGATTTAGATTTATCAGGGGAATGTTTTTTTATATTAGGTTCATCAGACGAAGAATATATATGCTGGATACTTGTTTTTGATATTCTACGTTTATTCGATAAGCCTGATTTAGATATATTTCATCTGATTCATTAACAGCTATGCTATAATCGGTTGTAAGTGAATTATTTGAAGATATCTTGTCATTTTCATCATTGTGATTGCTTCTTTTCAACCAATAAGTTGGACTTATGAAAGTTAAACGCTTTAAAAGGCCAACAATAGGACTTACTGCAACAATTCTGTTTGTTGAAGTATCACCACCGTCTGATTTTTCTCTAAGAAATAAATAAATTATATGTATTTTTGAGATGAATGGGGATTTTTAATTTAGAAGTAGTATTCATCATAGACTGACGTTAGTTGGGGGAACCATTGAAAATCTGGGAGCACTGGGCAGCCGTGACCTGTGGGATCAACCAGTCGGAAGTGAAGTGGATGCTAACTGAAGGAAGACCTTGGGTGGCAGTCGTGCTATGTTGTGAATTGACAGAAGTTGGAAATTATGAACCACTGGAAACCGACCCAATGGCTAAATGGTTGACGCCTTCGTCGTGAAACCTGAAGCTCCTGAGTTCGATCCCTAGCCGGGTCGGGGGCATACTGCTGAGAAGTCCCATACTAGGACGAAACAGCTGTCCAGTGCTCCCAGATTTTCAATGGTCCCCCAACTAATGTCAGTCCATGATGAACACTACCTCTAAATAAATTATATATATCGAAAGAAAATGAATTAGTCATTCATTCTATATTGTGATTCATTTGAATATCAGACTTGATGATCTGATATGCTAGTCAAAGATGAAGAGTAGTCACATTCTGCGTCAAGTTGATTCGCTAACTTCTGTACCACTAAACGTATTAGATTATCGCTTTGACTATTTGAGATAGTCGTGGTTTGGTGGACTAATATTTATACTGGAAGGTGATTGAAATGCTAGATGAAAATCTGAACTGCAACCTGATCAGTGCTCTACCAACTGAGCCACCAAGTCCGACTGCTGATCATATTTTTATTTCATTCCAATCACTAAGAGTTTTGTCCAACTACCATGTGAATTCGTGACGCGTTACTATTGCTTGATGGTACTGACACTGGCTTCTCAGTTAGGATTTCTCATTGCAATCCAAATGTAACTGAATTAGAGGGCGAACGCATCATATTGAGCTGGTGTGAGTACAATCAAGCGATAGTAACGCATCATGAATCATATGGTAGTTGGGCAAAACCCTCGATGATTGAAGTGAAATACAATCTAGTCACTAGTTGGGCATCATCGTAGCTCAGTTGGTAGAGCATCAGGCTGGAAACCTGGTAGTTGCTAGTTTAAATTTTTGTTTCGCTTCCAGTCATCATCCATTTATCAGTGTATTAGACTGAAACTGATAGCAACTTGATTTTTGATGGTTAGTTGTGGACGTCTCACCTATTGGTGTCTGTTGAAATAATCACCAGCACTAACTTCCTGTAGAAGTAAGACATATTTAAAGTATATATAAATGCTTAAGTGGTCTTTTTTTTCTGAGTTGAATCTCATTGAAGTATACTGAAAAATCCTTCACAACAGTAATTGTCATTTATACTGGGTGATAATTGAAGGTGAGATGAAAATCAGGTCCGCGACCGGATTCGAACCAGTGACCAGCCCGGTGCTCTACCAACTGAGCTACGAGTCCCAATTGTCATTTAGTTGTTAGGTTATTTTTCTGAGTAGTTTATGTTAATTGCTATTCTGTCTTAGCTGTAGGCTTCTAGAAATTCGCTTTTTGTGTTGTATGATTATCATATTTTGTAAATCAATGTTACAATGATCCATATATATATCAAGATCAAGGTGAAAACTTCACTTAAACATTATTATAATCGGTAGACATATCTTCTCACTGCTCTATGAAGTTAGGCAATGATGGTTAAATGTTCACGGTAAATCATAAAAAACTTTGAGAATACAATATCATTAGTGAACTGATGTTTGTTTAAATAGAATAGTTATGACTGAAGTTGAAATAAATAAAGAAATTCTATTGCTTACCTTCATATTATTGAACTGTGAAACCCTGACTCTATAACTAGGTATCAACTGACACTACTGATAATAACCATGACAATACCTTAGTCTTAAATGACTCATAAAGTTATCGAGATTAGTCGAACATAATCATTTTTATATACCGCCATTTATACTCTAGTAACTGAATGTATAATTAACTTCAAGTATAACGGAAAACTATCAGGTTTCATATCTTCCCGATTGATTATAAGTAAACGAAGGCGTAACAACAATCACGTAATTAACAAAAGTTTTACATTTTTTTTTTAAAGATTTACTATAATTTAAGAAAAAGGTAAGCGTATACTACTAAAATATGCAAACAATCTGACCTATCAATAAGATCGTAAAGTAAATTCATTCATTTGTTAAGACATAGATGCTCATTTGTGAATTTCTTTACTAAGCGTATATATAGTCAGTAAAAAAAAGAAAAAGATGATGGAATCCACTTTCATGTATAAGTCATACGTTTATGTGAAGGTCTAGAGAGCTTGGTAGGTGGGTTTCGAAGAAATGATTCATGCGCTAAAAGTCGATTGCCTAGATCATGATAGTGATTTTTCAAGTTGGTATTCATTATGAACTGATATTAGGTGATGGTCCAGATATATTGTCAACTGATAGAAGTTAAAAATATGGATGAAATCAGATCTTATAGAGAGTGATGTAGTAGTTTCAAGAAGACACTCTGTTACATATGCTTAGTATGCCTAGTCACCGATTGCCTCATCACACAATGTTGGCTGAGGTGGGTCCAGGCTGGAAAAGGGCCCGAGGAGGCCAGACTAAAACATGGCACCAATGTATGAAGTGTGTGACTGTTGGTTTGAGCCATGTAGGACGATGCAGACTAGGTGGTTGGGGCCGGTGGGACAAGAGGAACCAGTGGTTGGAGACTGACCCTATGTGATATGGCTGAGAACCGAAGTCAGTGGCGCAGATGTATACATACATTATCCTCATCTTAACAACGCTATACCGAATCTCACCATTTTGTCACTCCTCTTTCCTTTCTTCTCGTACTTTATATTTCTTTTGACTGCATTCACTTATCTTCATGCTTCACCTCACTACCTTTTTACTTGATATGCTGATATGAGGTGTGGCAACTCGGACCGTTACGCAGTAATGCCTGGTCCTATGTTGATAATGATGATGATGAATGGTACTAAGTAAATTATTTGGAAGAGATATTACCTGTGTTACTATACAGTGTGTAAATAATTCGCTGATTATTAAGTTACTTGTTTAAATTGGCTTTAAAGGCTATCCTAACTGTAACTGCTGAGATAGCCAATTTCTCTTCTTTATGAAAAAAAACTAACTTGCATGAGGGAATATACCAAAAACTGATTAATTATTTTAACAATTAGTAGGATGGCGTTTAAACTCACTCATATTTTCAAATGCCAGTAATCTTTTTTGATGATGATTCGCTGTTATTTGGAGTTTCAATACTTTGCTATGTATGCTTCTCATAAGAAAGTTAGTCCTGATGATATTACCAAGGTCAATGATGAAACATCCATGACAACATACTGAACAATCATCATCCTTATATTTCAAACTAAAAACTGTTTGCATCATTTTTACACCGTTTTTGGAAGATAGACACCTTTTTTTTTAACAGTAAATTTTATTATTTCCGCATAGGTTCTTTGTCGATATCTCGTCTCGATACAGGTATTATCGTCAAATATTTGGTAACTTTAAAGGCCACCATAGCAACGGATGGGATAGGCAATTACATTCCTTTATTTTATGGAAAAATATTTTCCTAGGTGAAATACTAAATCCATATTAGATTTGTTTATTTGATTTAAACACACAGTGTGATACAATATTATTTACTGGATGACGTTCCGAGTATAAATTATTACTGCTCATAATCACATCAATGTAATTACTCAACTTTCGACATTCGATTTCTATAGTTATGTCACCTCACTCATATGAGTTGGTTTTATTGGTAGTAAAATTTTCTATATCTCTGGTATAGGTGTTACGTTATTCCTGTTCCACATGTGTTGCGTGTTGATTTGATGAACAAAGATTCAGTAATCAATCTCTCCCTCTCTCTCTATCTAATTATATTGAACTTAAGTTCAGCGGCTTTGTCCCACTCTGTTACTACCACTCAATAGTAGCCGCAGTCCATTTCACTTACGAAGAGGTAGAAAATGAACAAGGAGAATTTCCTACGTTGGATTGCAGGATAAAACGAAGGACAGATGGTGGTTTAGATACTACCGTCTACAGGAAACTGACACATTCCAACAGGTATCTCAACTTCAAGTCATCTCATCAGTTAAAGGAGGTTTAGTCAAATATCTAAGTGATAGAGCTAGAAAACTGACTAGTCAGTGCAAGGATCTAAACAAGGAAGTGAAACACATAAAAGAAGCACTAATAGTTAATAATTATCCTCCGCAGTTTACCAAGAAATCCGCACGAACACACAAGAAACGAAAAAATAACAGTGACACGAGTACAAATAATATCGAAAACACAAGTACAAAGGAGTTCACAGCCTCCATTGTGTTACCACATAAGGAAGGTATGAAAGAAACTTTACGTAGGATCGCCAGCAAAGCTGGAATTAGAGTAGCATTTAAACCTTTAAACTCTCTCAGAGATAAGCTTTGTCTCCTGGCTTAAGGATCCGATAGAACCAATTCAGCGAAATAATCTTATCTATCAAATTCCATGCAATCACTGTGAGGTCAAGTACATAGGTGGAGCTAGCCGATCGGGGTCAGTTAGAATAGCGGACCACAGGAATGTAGTTAAATATAGAATGACATACCCGAATCAGATCAATAATCTAGATGGCAACTCGGCTACTGCAATGCATGCATTAACACACAATAGGGTGGGTGGGATAAAATCATTGTACTGCTTAAGTCCAAAATAATTAGGTGGAGAGAGAGGCAGAGACTGGTCACCGAACCTTTGTTCATCGAATCAATACACAACACATTTGTTGGTTGTATTGTGTTCTATGAGCTGGGTTGTTGAGTCGTGAAGCTTTCATCGCCTTGCTAGATGTCGTCTAGCAAGGCGAATAATTACTCGGTATAGAGCTTGTTTGGATGTATATATGTATAGGTGTTCAAGGTAATAATAAATTAGCGGAACGCAATCAGCCATCTTGACCAAATACGTGCAATAGTCAATGAATCACACCTTTTGTGTGAAAAGTAGTGATACTCTCTGGCTGTTAAAACCTCGGTACATGCAGCGGGACTCGAACTTACAACGCCAATGGCTAGTAGTCGTCTTCCTAAACCACCGAACTACAGCTCTACATAAATAAGTAGTTCAATTTGGAGGTTTGTGGGGATTGATTTGTTGATTTCAGGTTGGTATACATCATGGACTGACATCAGTTGGAGGGACATTGAAAACCTGGGGGCAGTGGACAGCTGTTTCATTCTAGTATGGGACTCCTCAGCAGTACCCACCCATGGTCAGGGATCGAACCCTTCAGGTTTCATGGCTAGCACGTTACTATTAGGCTGCCGGGTCAAGACCCAATGGTTCACACTTCCTATTTATATCAGTTCACGATATAGTGCGATCTCTATCCAATGCCGTCGTTAAGTAGCTGTCATTATGTTTGACTTGATTGGCCCCACTAGTCATGACTTCTCATTGAGACTTCGGGGATCACATGTTGAAGCTATTCATCATTGACCACTACATTAGTTCAATTTGGAGGTTTGTGGGAATTTATTTATTGATTTCAAGTTGATATTCATGGAATGATATCAGTCGGAGATGTATCGGATTATGGGTGTGTACTGCTGAAGAGTCCTACACTAGGACGAAACAGCAGCATCTTGATAAGCTCGTACACATCTTATCCTTAAGCTACCGACATTCTTCATCTAGAATTTATTTAATAAAAGTTGAACATTAGTTTAAACATGGAAATATTAAAAGAAACTTACTCATGATAAGGAATACTTGAGTCTGATTTATCGAAACTCTCTTCTAAACTATCATTCAATTCATGAATACATCCTCTATCTTGACGATATGACAGCCAATGTTGATTGATTGATTTACTAAATTCATCTTTAGTATTGTTGTTAGACTTGGATTTTAGTCGTATTATTGGTGTTTCAGGAGTGAACACATCATTATCATGAATACTATTATTATCATTATTATTATTACTATTAGGACCAAAAAGTAAAGCAGATGTAGGTGTAAGTAAATAGCTGATTTGATTTGAATCCTTTGAAATATCAAGCATATTGTTGTCACTACTACTACCACAATCACTACTATCCCTGCTGGTAATATTGTTCAAATAATCTTCATGATTATGATTCAACTGTGAAAAATGTTCAATGTTCAATGAAGGATAGTTGGATAAATAATTTTCTAAAGCTGACAAACCATCTTCAGAACTTAAATCAATATAATCATCTAAAAATTCCCAATATTCATACCATTTTGTTTTAAAAACATGGGATAAATACCTAGAAACAGAAAAAATTATTAAAAAAAAAATTAATAGGAAATATTCTATTTCAATTCAAACAATATCAACGAATTGAAACATACTTTATAATCGTGTGATCATCTATACAATAGGCAACGAGCTACATTTAGTGTGTGTGTGTGAGAGAGAGAGAGGGCTAATGATACTTAACCTAACTGGCTACTCAAACCTCCATAGATGAGGTGATAATTTGAAATGGTGGTTCATAAGAAATTTTATTTTTAAAAAAAACTGCTATATGCTTTAGACGCTAACGATGTACGCATTATCGACTGCCAATAACTAACGTTCAACAAAATCCTAGTTGATTCCCAATACGACCTAAAGAAGATAAAATGGACGTAAAGTAACGTGCATTGAAGTCAAAAAACCGAAGATAGGAACAAAAGAAATTACTGCTAATATATAGATAGTTCGCTGTTTAAAGTAATCCTATTGATTAGGTGATCCACCGTGCGTCTGTTGAACTGTAGACAAGATAACATAAAATATTTGATTGTACTGGGTGCAATTAAAATTTCGACTGCGACCGGATTCCAGCCAGCTACCATCGATGCTCTACTAACTGACTCTACGAGGTCCACTTTCAGATTTCTTTATGTTCACCTCAATCACCACGGCTTTCGCCTGACTACCATGTGAATCCGTGCTGCATTACTACAACTAGATCGTATTTACACTGGCTGCCTAGTCAGGATTTCTCATCACAATCCAAATCTAACTGAATTAAAGAGGGGCGGGGGGGGGAGCATTATATTGATTAATATTTGACTATCTAAAATAGGCGTAGTTTGGTGGACTAGTATTTATACTGTGTGATGATTGAAGGTGAGAAGAAAATCCGGACCACGGCCGGATTTTAACCAGCGATCTGACCTGACAGTTTCCATACCTATCTATTTTTCAATAGATTGTTACCAACTAAATGCTTCCCCCTCTACTGTTAGACAATGGTCCTCCCTGAATGGTCTTGTGCTTAATTCCTCAAAATCTCAGACTATAAACTTTACTTTCAGTCATGAACATAATCTACGTAAACTTTATTTCTCACGATTCCTGTCCTATCGATGAGTGTGCATTAGAGAATGTTACAAGTGTGATTTATCTCGGGGTGTTTTTCTCCGGACCTTTCGTACTCTCCCCATATCTTATTCATTTCCGAAAGAATCTTCCGCGTAGCTTTCTATATTAGGAATCTGAGAGTATCTGGTATAACTCAGCCTCTCTTCTTGTGTTTCATGAACTCCTACATCCTGTCTATTCTCCTCTATTCTTCTTCTTTATTGTTTCCTGGGTTGGGTTGCTGAGAAAAGACGATGCTGCATTGTCTAGAACTTTGAAGATTGTCACTTCATGTGATTTATCCACCTAAGTTAACTCTGGATTTTCAAGAAAGTTGTAGATGGAATAAATATTCTTCTTTTATGTGCAATTCCTACTTGTTTCATTTTTCGATGTATACACATGAAGTGTTTCTGTCCAATTGATGCTATGTGACATACTGAGAATTCTGCAGGATATTCCCGAAATAGCTCTCAGAATAAACCCATTATTATTCCCACTTATACTAAAGTGATATCCGTGCGGTAGGCAAAGTGAGCCGCACTTATTGTTTGAAGGCTAGTCATACTACCTGACTGCTTAAACCTTGGTAGTTGGGGGTGGTCGAACCCGTGGCCTACTTCCTTGACAGTCATCTCCGTCAGACCACTGAACCACAGCTCCACTCGCCTACTGCATAAATATGTACAAAGATGATTTCAGTTTGATTCCATGCGATTTTGAATGAAGATCATGACCACACCCTAGAGAAATAAAAAACAGCGTTATTATTATTTGTTAATTGTAATTCTCCGTTGTTATACTGGATTGAATTGACTGACCTACATTAGTAAATGGGCGCTCCTATGCGGAGGCTTCGATATTGAGTGAAGATCCATTATTATAATTGACTTAGTAGTGGTTAACAGTGGAATCCATGGCGCACGTTTCATCCTGTTTTGGACTCATCAGCTAGACGTACCTGTAACTACGCGTCCTGTATTCTACTGCAAGCCATCATCAGGTAAGTTAAAAACAGTGATATTCTTTACTCAGTTGACAACCTACAGTAGAGCTTATTCCCCAGTTAATCAATAGTAATTAGTTAGGACTTGTGGAAATGATCCTAATTGGATGACATTTTCATTTACCTAGTCTACCGATGATTTCAGGGAATTTACGATCAAAGCTCAAAGGTCTCTGTATGTTGGTCATCTGGAAAGACCAGGAGCAAGTACATAAGACTTTATGCACGTACTACAGAATATAAAAACTCTACTCTACAATACATATTTGCCTCGTATTGTGTTCGATGAAGAAAGTATTAGGAATGAACTAACTAATCAACTTGTGTTTTTGAAAGCAAACTAATTGATGATTACATAGGATGTTATTATTTATGTATTATGAATCTACTTGTTGCTAATATGATTGTTTACCTAAATTAACAGCATATTTTGAGTGAATATTCTTATCTTCTTTATACGTAATTTATACTTATTTCATTTTGCTATGTATACATATACACTGTTTCTGTCCAACTGATACTATATGACATGGTGAAAATTCTGTAGAATACAGTAGAGTATTATTATCACGTAATAAATCTGCGCACAGAGCATTCAAGTCAAGATCATGCAATGCATGTTATTCCATGATGATAACTACTTGAGACATACTGTATAACGATAGTGCGATCGATTGATTCAATCTTCATGGACAATACTTAAAAGCTAGGCACCTTCAATGAATACTGATCACCCAGATAGTATTTTCTAGTGAAATGTAACTACAAAAAATCATGATTACAATGAAATAAAACACAAAAGTTTATTTTTCATCAATTGAACATTAATATTTCCTTCACTGAAGAAATCCACAGAAGTAATTAAATCCTACAAGAATAGACTGAGTGGTAAAGAAACTGTAATAGTTATAGTGTGTCGTGCTGTGCTGTTTAACATTCAAATGAGTAGAGAAGCTATAGGACTTGGTTGTATTGCGTTCTCTGAGTTGGGTTGTTTAATCGTGGAGCTTTCATTGTCTTGCTAGACGACATCATCAGCACTAACCTCAGAATGAAGTGAGATGTCAATATCTCTCCGTAAGAGACTGGTTGTTTCCTTTGATTGTTGTGTCATTGACTATATAGATTTTCCTGTTGGCTATTCCTCTGCTTTACCTCTGACCTTTCTGTCGTTTATCATTTTCCTCATTGGTTGATAGATTAGGTCTATGTGCATACATCGGTTGATTGCTGACTGATTGGAATGCCAAGCTTGTAGGAATTCTCTGATACTCTTTGTGTTTCCTCTGTTCAATATCGTTACATTGTCAAAATTGAATTCATGTCCATAGTTGAAGTGAGTGATGAAATGTCATATGTGACGTTGAATAGCCAATTGGTGTTTATGTAGACGAAGGCGAAGATGGTGACTACTTTGTTTAATGTAGTGTTGACTGCAGTTATTGTAGTCGATTTTGTAAATGATATTCGTTTGTCTTCTTTGGTAGTTGCATCCTTTGGTCTGTATAACAGAGTTTGGAGGGAATTCGTTGGTTTATGAGCCAAATCAACTCCAATTGGTCTCAGTAATTTTGTCATGATTTCTGGTACATACTTTATGTATAGTAGGATGATGCGTTTGTTGATTTCTGTCGACGACTTTGTAGTCGATGATATACGGGACATGAATTCAATTTTGACAATGTAGAAAACTTGCACAGAGGAAACACAAAGAAATATCAGAGAATTCCTAGAAGCTTGGCATTCCAGTCAATCAGCAATCAACAGATGTATAGACATAGACCCAATCTATCAACCAATGAGAAAAATGACAAACGACAGAAAGGTCAGAGGTGAAGCAGAGGAACATAAAAATCTATACAGTCAATGACACAACAATCAAAGGAAACAACCAATCAGAAACCAGTTTGTCAGGGCAAAGCTACTAAATCACTCATGGACTTCGAAATAACACTTTTTCTTGTTATATGAGGTTACAATCAAACTTGCAAAAAAGGTTATAGGTGACCATTTTAGCTCTATGATACGGAAAATTAATCCTTACAAAAACAACTTCCATGTTATGGGCAAATTCTTAGCAGTATAAAAAATCCACACACAATAAACCTATAAATCTTCATACATTTCAAAACAATAAACAGTAAACAATTCATTAATATAAGTGAAAAACTTGGGCACTGTGGTAGAATGTAGTTCCATATTAGATTTGTTTATTTGATATAAAGCGCACAGTGATACAGTATTATTTACTTGATTACGTTTCGAGCATAAATTATTACTGCTCATAATCATATCAATGTAATCACACTTCTTTCGACATCTGATTTTATAGTCCTGTCACCTGATCTCTCTTTGTTTTTTGATTGGTAGTAAAGTTTTCCATATCTCTGGTATAGGTGTTGCGTCATTCCTATTACATGTGTTGGGTGTGGATTCGATGAACAAAGATTCAGTAATTAATCTCTCTCTCTCCACCTAGCTATATTAGACTTAAGTACAGTGGTTTTGTCCCATCCTATTGTGTGGTTGTGTGTTAATGAATGTAATGCAATGGCTGAGTGTTTTTCTAGGTTATTGATCTTATTGGGGTCTGCCGTTCTATGTTTAGCTAAATTCCTATGTTCTGTTAATCTAACTGACCCCGACCGGCTAGTTTGACCTATGTATTTGACTTCACAGTCATTACATGGAATTTGGTAGATTATATTATTTTGCTTAATTGGTTCTATCGGATCTTTTAGCCGACAAAGCTTACCTCTAAGTGAGTTTGTTGGTTTAAATGCCACCCTAATTCCAACCTTGTTGAGAATCCTACGTATGGTTTCTGATGTTCCTTCCTTGTATGGTATCACAATAGAGGTGCTGATTTCCTTTCTACTTATGTTGTCACTATTATTTGTATTTGTATTAGTGTTATTATTTTGCTTCTTATGCGTCCGTGTGAATTTCTTAATAAAATGATGGGGATAATTATTAGTTATTAACGCTTCTTTTATGTGTTTCAATTCCTTATTTAAGTCCTTACAATGACTAGTGAGTTTCTCAGCTCTGTTATTTAGACATTTGACTAAACCCGCTTTAACTGACACTGGATGAGATGACTTGAAGTCTAGATACCTGTTAGAATGTGTTGGTTTTCTGTAGACGGTAGTATCTAAACCACCATCTATCCTTCGTTTTATTCTGCAATCCAACATAGGTAATTCTCCTTGTTCATTTTCTACTTCGTAGGTGAATTGGATTGCGTTAACTACTGAGTTTATGTGTGTCAAGAAACTGTCGATATGTTCCGATTTCAACACTGTAAATGTGTCATCTACATATCGCCACCATATCTTAGGTGTCGGATTATATGTTCGTAAAGCCATATCTTCCCAACTATCCATAAATATATCTGCTACTATAGGGGATATTGGTGATCCCATTGCTACTCCTTCTGTTTGTCTGTATATCTTTCCCTGAAACTTGAAGACTGTCGAGGTTAAGCATAACTGCACTCCTAACATGATTTCACCAACCGATGCCTTGGTTCTTTGAGTAAGTTGTGAGTCAGTATCTAGTTGATTTCTGACTGCCTCCAGTGCCATATTGATTGGTATTTTAGTATAAAGACTTGTTACGTCAAAACTAACCATTTTTTCATCCTCTTCTATGTGCAGGTCATTAAGTTTTTGTTTCAACTCGTAAGAATTTACTAGTCTAGAGTTGGAACGGTCTCTAACAGGACGTAATACTGATGCTAAATACTTTGATATCTCATATGTTGGTGTGTTTCGGAAGTCAACTATCGGCCTAATGGGATAACCTGCTTTATGAACCTTAATAGTACCGTAAATTCTGCTAGGATTATTAGTTTTTGGCATTAAAGTAAACCATTCGGACTTACCTAGAGATGGCTTCAGTCGGCGTATCAGATCTGTTGTAGATTTCTTAATTTTATTCATGACAGTATCTATAGGTTTCTTAATCTCTTCATATGGCCCTGTTTGGATATGTTCATCCATTTTTTTAAGATAATCCGATTTGTCCATAACTACTGTTGAGTTACCTTTGTCAGATTTAGCAATTACTATACTATTATCCTTTCGTAGATTGTTTAAAGCTGAATTTTCCAGTTTCGTTAAGTTTCGCTGTGTCTTCTTTTGTTTTTTAAGTGCTAATGCACACTGCGCTCTAACCTGTTCAGCAGTTGTCACATCCACCGAGCTTAATGCTACTTCTATGCTAGGTATGACATCTTCTGGTTTTAGATGATCTACTGTTATGTTGAAGTTTAGTCCTTTTTCAAGTACTTTCATCTCAGCTGAGCTTAAGGCTTTCGAGGAGAGATTGACTACCCACTTTGTTCTATCGATGTTCGATGATGTTTCCTTTGTAATTTCATTGTTTTCCGAAGCATATTTTTCTTGCATTAGTTTATTGAACTTTTTGATTTGATTTCTTCTAGATTTCTTGAGAGTAGCTAATCTTGCTTTGTCTGATGTTTCTATTATAAATCCATAGTCTCTGCAGTTTACTATCTTCATAATTTTACATTTAAGTTGTTCAATTTTATTCCGAATGGTACTTAATTTCTTAATAATCCTGTGAATTTCTTCTTTCAGACATAGTTTGCTGACATGTTCTATTGCCCTTTGGATTTTGTCAGTATATATTGGGATTCGTATGCGAAGGTATTTAGGGATAATTTGATTTTTCATGCAACGAATATTGAAAATACGATGATTTGTGAAACGTGCTTCAGTTTGTGAAAGTCGTGTGAGTTTATTGATTAGCCTTCGAACAGGAAGACCATAAGTTTCATTAATATAAGTGAAAAACTTGGGCACTGTGGTAGAATGTAGTTCCATATTAGATTTGTTTATTTGATATAAAGCGCACAGTGATACAGTATTATTTACTTGATTACGTTTCAAGCATAAATTATTACTGCTCATAATCATATCAATGTAATCACACCACTTCGGATATCTGATTTTATAGTCCTGTCACCTGATCTCTCTTTGTTTTTTGATTGGTAGTAAAGTTTTCCATATCTCTGGTATAGGTGTTGCGTCATTCCTATTCCACATGTGTTGGGTGTGAATTCGATGAACAAAGATTCAGTAATTAATCTCTCTCTCTCCACCTAGCTATATTAGACTTAAGTACAGTGGTTTTGTCCCATCCTATTGTGTGGTTGTGTGTAATGTGAATATAATGCAATGTAAACAATTCATGCAGTAGTTTTGTAGAACCATCTTCTCAGTACCGAAAACAGTTTGGTTTAAAATATCAACGAAATAATCTGCTAGCTTGACCAGTGGTGCTGAAATTTTTTTAAAGGTTTATCTTGTTCAGTAGTTATTTGCACACAGTCATCTACCATTTTTTTCTCTTTTACTCTTATCGTCTAATTCCACACATGTACACAAGTTCAAAGTCCCTAGTTCAACTTTATATGATCAGATATGATTTGAATAATCTCTCTAAGTAATCCTATACACACATAGGCAAGATATACCAACCGGCTAAAACTGAATTCGTGCTAATGATTCAGTTAGTCAGTTCAGTATAAACGGAAAAATCAATTCTTATAGACTAAAGATAGATAGATTGGCAGAATCAACGTAGAACGTCACATACAATGGTATTGGCTCAAGTTGTCACACTTTACAGTAAGATACAAAGAACAGATGGATACAAAAGGAGTGATATCAAAGTAGACAAAGTTGTATGAGACAATAAACAATTTGAAGATAAAGGTTAGTGTGAATATTTAAGTTGTAGATGTCAACAAGTGTATACATCTGCGCCACTGTGACCAATTTTCAACCATGTCACCAACAGTCCTTAATCAATTATTCCTATCGTCTTGAGATTCCCAGCCAGACAGACTACATCTCCCCACAGAGCTCAGACTAACAGTCATGGACTTTATCGACTGGTACCACTTCTCAGTTTGGCCTCCTTCAACTTTCCCCACTATTATAGCACGTCGAGGTAGGCAGTGATAGCTCAGCACATGCAGTACATATCCAAGTGATCTCCTCAATCGATGAAAGTTTACAACCTTATCAATCGACTTGCCCGTTTTTCCTAGTACCCTTCACCCTGACCTATACACTGCTCACATGATGGTTCCACTGAACGTGACCAATGCTACGATGAAGCAGCTATCGGTCGAGTAGATCAACGACAATAGTAAATTAAAACTCAATACATCCTATTTTTTTCCTTAAAAATTATTTATTTATAACATTTATAATTATCATTCGATTTGCAGTATCGTTTCACCTACAGGAGGCACAAACGAGGACGTTAAAGCCAGGATCGGAAAAGCAAGACAGGCGTTCATTAACCTGAAAACAGTGTGAAGATCTTCTGCACTCAGCATGTGGAACAAGATCCAGATTTTTAACACTAATGCCAGTCAAGGCAGTGCTTCAGAGACTTGGCGCGTTACGAAAAGCACTTCCAACAAACTGCAGACATTCATCTACGCTGGCTCGTTACTGAAGCTCAGATGGCCCGAAAAAATAAGTAACAAGGAACTCTGGCTGGTAACCAACCAACCAAGAACCTATCACAGTGGAAAAAGTGGAGATGGATTGGGCGTGCATTGAGAAGATCATTCGGGGACATCACGCGCCAGACACTCCAGTAGAACCCAGATGAGAAACGACGAGTTGGGCGTCCGTGGCGAGCTTGATATGAAGGAGATGGTGTGAGGAACAAATGAGAGCTTGTGAGCAGTCGTGTAGCCAGGTTCAAAAGATGACAGAGAAGAGAGTGGAATCGAGACGTGCTACTGAAGCCCTATGTTCCACTAGGAGCCCAAGGGACAAATAATATTAATATAATAAATTGCTTACCTCCCCTGACGTTCATATCCTCTTTCAGCATCAGTCAAACGTAAACATGCAAAAGGTTTACAATGAACAGAATTAGGCATATTGTATTGAAGCCATTTCTTTCGAAATTGAACAGCCTATTTATTTTGAAAAACAAACAAATAAAACTTGACATTCTACCATATGAATGTTAAAAGCTCATTATGTTCCCTTAAATATTGGCTAGTGTAAACATTTCAGCATCAAATAGGATATTATTGCTGAAAATATTAACTTCAAGTGAAAATTCATTTCACTTGAAATTGAAGATTACACTTAAATAAGAAAAAATATACCGGTTGTGACCTTGAGCGACTTTAAAGGTTACCTTAGCAACTGATGAGACAGCCAATTACATCCCGTTATTTTATGGAAAAGTACTTTTCAAGGCAAAATGCTGAAACTTGATTGGTCTATTCAGTAGTTGTTAAGGTGGCCTTTAAAATCACCCTGAAAAATCAGTTAATATGATTTATAAACAATTGAACAAGCCAAAAAAGGAAGCAAAAATGCACAACTACAGTAAAACAAGAAATGGTGGTGTATGAAAGGAGAATAAACTTGAAAATGAAGGTTCTTAAAAATCTTCAAGCTTCAGATGAGATCAAAGAGTGAATACATCAATAAACCATTATGACCAAGTTTTAGCCATGTTCTCATTAAGGGTCTCCAACTATTAATTCTTATTATCTCGGAAACCCCCGTTAGATAGTTCAGACCTCCCTATATTGCTCAGACCAGTAGTCAGAGACTTCATGCTTTGTTGCCACGTCTTGATCTGGCCACTATCAGCTCTTATCTAACTTCGGCTAATATTGCACGTCAAGGTGGGCTGTGGATTGGGATGTAAAAAACTTCAATCGGTGAATATTCATAACCTTATTGCTCGACGTTCCTATTTTCCGAAGTATCTTAAATTTTGTGACAGAAACTGATTTTCCACAATATCTGGTAGCTAGTTATCTAGATGATTCATTGAGAAATCCCACTGTATTAAAACCAAATCACTAATATAGATGACCACTGAGGGTAAATTCCCTGAAATCATCGGTAGACTAGGTAAATGAAAATGTCATCCAATTAGGATCATTCCCACAAGTCCCAACTAATTACTATTGATTAACTGGGGAATAAGCTCTACTGTAGGTTGTCAACTAAGAAAACAGTATGACCGTTTTTAACTAACCTGGTGATGGCTTGCAGTAGAATACAGGACGCGTAGCTACAGGTACGTCTAGCTGATGAGTCCAAAACAGGATGAAACGTGCGCCATGGATTCCACTATTAACCATTACTAAGTCAATTATAATAATGGATCTTCACTCAATATCGAAGCCTCCGCATAGGAGCGCCCATTTACTAATGTAGGTCAGTCAATTCAATCCAGTATAACAACGGAGAATTACAATTAACAAATAATAATAACACTGTTTTTTATTTCTCTAGGGTGTGGTCATGATCTTCATTCAAAATCGCATGGAATCAAACTGAAATCATCTTTGTACATATTTATGCAGTAGGCGAGTGGAGCTGTGGTTCAGTGGTCTGACGGAGATGACTGTCAAGGAAGTAGGCCACGGGTTCGACCACCCCCAACTACCAAGGTTTAAGCAGTCAGGTAGTATGACTAGCCTTCAAACAATAAGTGCGGCTCACTTTGCCTACCGCACGGATATCACTTTAGTATAAGTGGGAATAATAATGGGTTTATTCTGAGAGCTATTTCGGGAATATCCTGCAGAATTCTCAGTATGTCACATAGCATCAATTGGACAGAAACACTTCATGTGTATACATCGAAAAATGAAACAAGTAGGAATTGCACATAAAAGAAAGAATATTTATTCCATCTACAACTTTCTTGAAAATCCAGAGTTAACTTAGGTGGATAAATCACATGAAGTGACAATCTTCAAAGTTCTAGACAATGCAGCATCGTCTTTTCTCAGCAACCCAACCCAGGAAACAATAAAGAAGAAGAATAGAGGAGAATAGACAGGATGTAGGAGTTCATGAAACACAAGAAGAGAGGCTGAGTTATACCAGATACTCTCAGATTCCTAATATAGAAAGCTACGCGGAAGATTCTTTCGGAAATGAATAAGATATGGGAAGAGTACGAAAGGTCCGGAGAAAAACACACCCCGAGATAAATCACACTTGTAACATTCTCTAATGCACACCCATCGATAGGACAGGAATCGTGAGAAATAAAGTTTACATAGATTATGTTCATGACTGAAAGTAAAGTTTATAGTCTGAGATTTTGAGGAATTAAGCACAAGACCATTCAGGGAGGACCATTGTCTAACAGTAGAGGGGGAAGCATTTAGTTGGTAACAATCTATTGAAAAATAGATAGGTATGGAAACTGTCAGATCATCAGGACATTTGGTAAAATTGATACTAGCTGAAGATGATAGGTCATGCAGAGAGAAATAGAAAAGACAGAGGGAAAGGACAGCTCCTTGGGGAACACTAGTCATACTAAGCAATGAGGTGGAGTGCTTCCCTCTGTGAACAGTATATTGTTTCTTTTCAGAGAAATAGGAATGCAGCTGGTTGATTATTCAGGACTCAGTATTAGTCCCGCGTATCTTGTCCAGCAAAAGGGTTCTTGGGACAGAATCAAATACCGAAGTATAGTCTGAAAAGGGACACCTGACATTTCTATCAAGATGACGATGGATATTGTGATATAAGAGAGTGACGACATCTAGGGTTCTTCGTTCGCTTTTAGATGGGAATCGATTAGGGTCTCCGAAAGCCTTCAATGAGAGTTAGAGTACAAGTATTATTAGCTTCTCCATTATTTTCAAGAACAGAAAAGTAACTAGAATCGGATGGAAGTTTGGACATGTCACTGGAGTCCTTGACTTAGGTACGGGGACTATCTTAATCATCTTTCGAGGCAGCTGGCATAGTGTTTTCTAAAAACGGTCTATTGAACATGTTAGCTAATCGATGGTATAAAGTATTTGCACACTTCGTGAATACGAAGCTTGAGATGCCACTTTAATGAACATAAAAACGACTTCATTTCAAAACTAGTGGTCAATTTACTGACCATTTAGAAATGCTCTCATCGACCTGATGCACATTCTTACACTAGGGACAACGAGTTAAACGTACCTGTGTGAAGGTAAATGATACCACCTGGTTACCTAGATCTCATTAGATGGAGCTGGATTCGAATCTCAGTTGAACGTCAACTGCCTAAACCAATGAACCACGATACCTCTTTATTAACTAATTAACACAAGGGACCGAAGGCGAATACTTTCATGCTTACAGTAATTCCATTGAACAATAGTAAATTATAAAACTAATAAATAACAAAGAAAACTAAACGGTTGTTTTATCCCAGCCCAAGTCGACCTCATTATGAGATTTGGGAGCTTTCAGTTCCATTTCGTTTAGCATCATGGGTTCACACTGTCGAGTACATCTTATAACGTTCAGAATACGCTAATTCCCAATAGTTATCCAATTGATTTGAATTCGTAATGAAAACTATCTTCAAATAAGTCAATTCTTTTGAAGCCAACAAATACCCTTTGAATACTGCGTGACTCTCAAGTTTTGATACACATTAGTCCTATAGTGTCTAGTATGATTTTCCAGATCTTCTTAAGAAGTCATGAATCCCCGAAACTCTTCGCAACTAACCAATCATTATTCTTCGAATATCCACAAGTGATCATACAAGAAAGTATCAGATTTCAGGTTGATATCCATCATGAACTGAAATCAGTTGGAGAAACATTAGACCACTGAACAGCTGTTTCGTCCTAGCAAGGGACTCCTCAGAAGTGTGCACCTATAACTCCACCGTCAGGGATCGAAACCAGAACCTTCAGGTTCTGTAAACAGCACGTTACCATAGAGCCACTGGCTCGGCGAAATCCAATGGTCCATATTTCCAGCTTCTGTCAGTCCACACAACATAGCGTGACCTCCATCCAATGCCGTCGTTGAGTACCTATTCTCATGTTCGACTTGATTGTCCCCACTAGTCACGACTTTTCATTAGGACTTCAGGATTAATTCAATTTGGGGGGTTTATCAAGATTTCATGGATTTCAAGTTGGAATTCATCATGGACTGACATCAGGTGGTGGAACGTTGGAAACCTGGAATCACTGAACCGAATGGCTCAATGGTTATCTACTGGTTACAGAATCTGAAAGTCCTAGGTTTGACCCCTGGTAAGCAGGGTCACGAGTGCGCATTGCTGAGGAGTCCTATACTAGGACGAAACAGACATCCAATGGTCCCTGGTTCCTAATGTTTCTTCAATTGGTGTCAGTCCATAATGAATACCAACCTGAAATCAATAGGGAATGTCTTTTTAGAAGGGTGTAGAAATAGCCAAGGCTATTGTAAATATATGTATATAAACCACTGCATTATAGATATTGTGTCACCTTCTGCTACTTTATTGTCCTTTTTTTTATTTTCAGAATAACTTAGGCACTTATGAAGGATGAAATCTGAAGTTTGTTGCTTAGCTGTCCACATGTATAAGTAACATAACAGTTAGTAAGGTCTATTCAAAAATGATAACTTTTCACCAAAACTTCAAGTGTATTAACAGTGATAATCCTGTAGTAACTGTTCATCAACAGTACAACCAGTCATCTTTGCATTTCAAGAAGTTAAAACAATGAATAAAAAACACAGTAAATCTTATTTCTTCTTCATTTATTATTATAGTAATATTTTTCCCTTGGGTTCCTAGTGGAACATAGAGCTTCAGTAGCACGCCTCTATTCCACTCTCTTCTCTGAAGTTTCAAAACCTGGATCCACGACTGCCAAGCAGCTTTCATTTCTTCCTCTCACCACCTCCTTGATGTCACCCTCACCTCGGAGCCCAACTCGTCGTTTCCCCTTCGGATTCCACTCGATGCCCTGGCCTGGTGCGTGATGTCCCCAACCGGCCTTCTCAGTGTATGCTCAATCCATCTCCACTTTTTTCCACCGCATATTTGTTGAGTAATTGGTTCTTGGTTGGTTCGTTCCCAGAGTTCTTTGTTGCTTATTCTTTCTGGCCACCTGATCTTCAGTATCGAGCCAGCGTAGGCGGCAGCTGCTGAGAATGTCTTCAGTTTGTTGGAAGTGCTTTTCGTGACACGACAAATTTCTCAACCATATACAAGCACTGACTTGGTGTTGAAAATCCGGATCTTATTCACGCTTTATGCTGACAGCGGTGGAGTGGAGTAGATTCCCACACGGATTTCAAATTAATGAAAGACTGTTTTTCTGTCTTCCCGATCCTGGCTTTGACGTCTTCATCTATGCCGCCGCTGACTGTAGTTGAAACGATGCTGCCCTGCATAGGTAGGTGAAAGAGACTACTTCCTTTAGGTTTCTGCCGTTAATGGTGATTGATGCTGGTTGTTGGTTGGGTATCATCATCACCTCTGTCTTCTCTACATTCACTTGAAGTCCCATCTTCGCTGCCTCTTCTGTCAACTTGTTAGGTTTCTTCTTCATAGTACACATTATTTGAAAATTGCATACAACTCAAGAAGTTTATAAATTGTAACACGAATTGATGAGTTTTGAGAATAATCTTGTTTCAAATTGTTATTCAGCGTAAACTGACATCACTTAGAGGAACGAAGGAAACCTGGGAGCACTGGACAGCTATTTCGTCCTAGTATGGGACTCCTCAGAAGTGCGCACCCACAACCCCGACAGGGATCGAACCCACGGCCTTCAGGTTCCGTGGCCAACACGTTACCATTGAGCCACTGGGTCAGAACCGAATCGTTCATATTTCCAACTTCTGTTAGCTCACTAGGATGAAACAGCTGTCCAGTGTTCCCAGGTTTCTTTCGTTCCTCTAACTGATGTCAGTCTACGATGAATAACAACTTGAAATATTTTCAAATCCCTACAACTCCCTCAAAATAATACTGTTGTCTAAAAATATATCTACAATGTCATGTAACATCATCTTAGACTTGATATGAAGGACAATCAGAATTGAATGGATTCATCAGAATTTGCTTACCATTGAGGAGATGGATAAAAAAAAACAGTCTACAATCTTTCTTTATAAAAAAAGCTTAAATCAACAGTCATAAAGAGACTTTGTAGATCAGTATGAAAGATATATCTCACAAGGCTAAGGGTATGCTAGTCTTTGTATTCATGTATTGAATGCCAGGTAAGTCTATATGGAATGAAGCTTTGTGATATTATTCGTTTTAGTCATGTACAGTTCAGAACTGTAAACCAACTGGATATATATCACAGTTATACTACAGAGGATAATTTATACTGATCTATAAACTGAATCCTCACAATCATAAAAATAAGTAATTATCACGGACTAATATCAGTTGGAGGACCATGGAAAACCTGGGAGCACTAGACAGCTGTTTCGTTCTAGTACGGGACTCCTCAGCAGTACACATCCGCGACCCAGCTAGGGGTCGAACTCAGGACCTTCAGGTTTCATAGAGAATGCACTAACCATTCAGCCACTGGGTTAGTTTTCAGTAATTCACAGTTTCCAACTCCTGTCAATTCACAATATAGCGTGACTATCACCTAAGGTCTTCAGTTAGTATCCGCTTCACTTCCGACTGGTTGACTCTACAGGTCACAACCTCTCATTAGAACTTCGTGATATCCATATGGAACCATATCACTGATGAGCACTATACAGTAATGCATTTCTTTTTGAGATAAATGGGGATTTTAATTTTGAGGTAGTATTCATCACGGACTGAAACCAGTTGGAGAACTATTGGAAACCTGGAAACACTGGACAACTGTTTCGTCCTAGCATGGGACTCTTCAGCAGTATACACCCATGACCCGGCTAGGGGTCGAACTCAAAAAAAGAAAGCATTAAGTGACACAAACCTATTGTGTGATGGTTAACGTTACTATCTGGAGTGGAGCTTGAACACTTGAACAATTATTGGATGAAAGTCAACCCCTTAAATCAATGTGCTGCAGCTTCAGTGAATAAGTTCAAACTAACTACTGTAAATTTAGTTTGTCTAGTCTCTTGCCTTCATAGCTGACTTTCATGCTCATGCACCTACCCACCGAAAGAATATTGAGGAGACTATTGATCCCCGATCGTAATTTTGAAGCCAGAGCATTTTTTTTGCTCTCTTCTGGATGATGTAGCTTAATAGTTTGCTTAGAGTGGACAGAAGCATGAACACTAACAATTACTTTATCCAAAAAATATATTTATCAATTCAGGAAATCGAATTTGTTTTGAATACATAAGAATATTAGATAGATTTTTCAAGTACTTAACAGTATGCACAAAAAATCATTACGGATAACAGTCGTAATTAAGTTTTTATGTATTATGTCATAAGAAATCAATTGGATGACCAACTAGAATTCACATTTCCATAGACCATGTAACCATGGTTATAGTTTATTTGGACTGTTTACAATAACCCAATGTTACATTTACACAGTTTGTTTTCATATATAAATCAAGTAGATAATAGATAACATGTTACCTGTGAATTGACGACAACTAGTGGTGTCCGCAAGGGAAGCTCGCTGTCACCGATTCTAATTAACTTCTTTATAGACGTACTAACGGAAATAACCTTACCTACGTTTGACTTCACAGGGATTGAATTGGAGTATACAGACGATATTTTTCTGTTAGGTGAAGACGCTGACGCAATGCAGGGTTCTGTGAACGTGTTGAGCGGGAACCTAAGTATGTTTGGCATGTGTCTTATACCCGTGAGATGTAAGATTCTCTAAAACCGGTCTGCAGCTATTCCCAGTTTGAGGATAGGAAGTGAGATGGTTGAATAAGCTGACCACTTTACTTACCTGAGGAGTTGCATCAGTCTAAAAGGGGTCTCACCGCAGTTTGGCGCATGCCAAACTGCTATGAGACACTCTTGTTGACAGTAGAAGACAGGAAAGAGTTACGAGTTTTGATCATGGGTGTCTTCGTAACATTGCTCACGTTTGGCGGAATCATCATGTAAGCAGTGTACAGGTCAGGTGAACGATACTAAGCAAGTCGATCAGTGAGGTTGTGAACCTTCAATGACTGACGATATGTACTGAGCGTGCCATGGTGGTAGGAGAAGTTGGATTAGGTTGGAAGAGGGTTTGAGGTGGCCAGATTAAAACGTCACGCCAGTCCATGACGTATCTGACTGTTGGTCTGAACCGTGTGCGAAGATGTATACTACCTAGAGACGATCGGAATGAGCAATTGAGGACTGCTGGTGACATGGCTGAAAATCGTCACAGTGACGCAGGTGTATTCAGTCCTTGACGTCTTCTACAACTTGAATATTCGCACTAACCTTAATCTTTTTTATTCTCACACAACTTTGTCTACTTTGATATCACTCCTTTTCTATCCACCAATTCAAAGTAGTATACAAATACCACTTTGAAGTGTGACAACCTGAGCCGATTCCCTTGTGCATGAGGTTCTACGTTAATCTTATCTGCCTATAACGTGCTACTGAGCTAATCATTATACACTGGTGTGGTAAACCATGCGATATATCTTCTGTCTAATGATGTGTGTGACTGCTAAATCCCCGAAGCCAAAATAAGTGGGGTATAAGCTAAAAATCCCGATGAACTAGTGAATAAAAGTACAAGTTTTACTTTCACTGCTAGAGATTTACTAGCTGGCTGCTAAGCTTTATATTACCTGTGATTTAATATTTTTCAAGTTGCTTTTCATCATGGACTGGCATCAGTTGGAGGGACATTGGAAACCTAGGAGCACTGGACAGCTGTTTCGTCTTAACACGTGACTTCTCAGCAGTACGTATCGACAGATGATTCCTGATGTCGGTATGAGAAGTCGTGACCAATGGGGCAAACCTGGTGATCGTGAGGACAAATACTCAACGATGATATTGAGTGGCGGTCACGGTATGTCATGAAGTTGGAAATATGGACCATTGTATTCCGCGGAGCCAGTGGTTTAATGGTAACGTGCTGACTGCGGAACCTGAAGGTCGTGGGTTCGACCCCTGACGGGCGAGATCATAGGTGAGCATTGCTAACGAGTCCTATACTAGGACGAAACAGGCGCCCAGGCTTCTAGATTCCAACTGATGTCAGCCCATGATGAATAGCAACTTGAAAAAGCCTTACATGTTTAAAGCAAACTGTACTAATTATAATATAATAGAAAGTATTTTATCAACAGACTCAACTTACTTTATCTAATGACATCGGTCCTGAGAAGCCTCGTAATCGATGCAATTGACCTTCACACTCAAAATATGTTAGGAAATCATCAGTATAAGTATAATTCTCAATATATTTTCTAGAATGATAATTACTATGCTCTGAAAAGTTATGTATACAACAATATGGTTTGACTGTAGTTGTATTGGTAAATGTTTTACAAGAATTCAATGCAAAATGACTCAATAAGGCTTGAAATTTACGTGTATCTAAAGGTGGTAAAATTTTTGTTTGAATTATAGTTGACTTTAAGTTTTTAATATCTGCGAGTACAATATAACTGAAAGTGAAGAAAAATACTAAGAATTAATAAGCATCTATGTGATATTTACTCCTACTAAAAAATCATTATAAATGTCGGGGAGAGAATTGTGCATTAGCAGAGAACGATGATGCATTATTACACGTTTAGTATAACTTTTTTTTGTTTTAAATAAAAGGATTGATTTCTGACAAATATGAACTGATTTTAGAGTATGAAACACACAAATATATCGCTAAGCCTTAACTTTTTAGTGCTTAACTTCATCAGACATGTACCCAAAAGAATTCACCGATTATTATTATTATTTGTACTTTAGGTATCTAGGAGAACATAGGGCTTCAGTAGCACATCACCATTTCACACTCTTCTCTCCAGTCTTTTCAACCTGGCTTCACCAATTCCCATAAGCTTTCATTTCTTCCTCACACATCATCTCCTCCATATCACCCTCAGCTGGGACGCCTAACTCGTCGTTCTACATTTGACTCCCACTCCACGGCCTCACCTAGCCCATGATGTAGCAAACTGTCTTCTCAGTCTATGTCCATCCCAATCAATCTCCACTTAATTCTACTACATTTTTGTTGGGCGATAGCTTCTTGGTTGCTTCACTGCCAGTCAGCCAGCTAGAGTTCCTCCTTGCTTATTATTATTATTATTATTCTATTCTGGCCATCTCATCTCCATCTTCAATATCCAGTGAGCGTAGGTAGCAGCTATCCATGTATGTCTGCAGTTTGTTAGAAATGCTTTACGTAACGCGCCAACTCTCTCAACCATCACATAGAAGCAGTGATTTGACTGAATTTATGTTGAAAATCCGGATAGTGTTCACGCTTTATGCTGAGTGCAGTGCAGCAGATCTCCAAACTGATTTCGGATCAATGAAGGTCTGTCTCGCTGTCTTCCATCCTGGCTTTGACATCCTCATCTGTCCACCACCGCCTGTAGTTGAAACGATGCTACCCTGCCTAGGTAGATGAAAGAGACAACTTCCTTCAGATTGGTGCTTGTTGGTGGTGGTGGTTGGTTGGGTATCTCCATCACCTCTATCTTCTCTACGTTCACCCGAAGGAAGTCCTGTCTTCCTTCTTTGTCCTGACTCTTCTGCCAACTTGTCAGTTTTTGCCCACACATCTTCGCGTTTGTGCGACATGAGTCAGACATAAATCATCATCGGAGAAATACAAATCTTCTTCTGGGGTCTTTTCATAGGTCCTCCAAGCGTATGCCCATCTTCTCGCTCCTCAAAGTTTCTTCCATGATCCAGTCCAGTCCAGTCGACCACAATCAGGAAGATCAACGGTGATGATAGGAGGCAACCTTGTCTTACTCCTGTCCCCTGTCTTCATTTCAAACGCATCACTGAGCTTTCCATTGTCAATCACTTGGCATGTAGCACCCCCATATAGCATATAGGTGCTGTTGAATGAGATTGGTAAAGGTTTGTGGCACTAAAACCGTAGTATTGAAGCAGTTTCGAAATAACTTCTCGGTCGAATCTATCGAAGGCCTTCTAAAAGAATTCACCTCTGAGAGGTGAACTGTTCAGATTAACTGGTATCTAACCAGTTGATACGAATGGAGAAATGTACCGCCGAGAATGGGATGGACTATACGGAAGTTGTTTGAGAATTATGAAACACTGACAACCATCCATGACATCGATATAGTTCCCGCTAGAAATTATCTAGTAAACAGGGTGGACGGAAAGGCAACTGATGTTTGATATACAGGCTAATTTTTAAAATTGTAGGCAGATATTCTGCAAATTTTATAATTGGAACTTTGTTAAAATGAACTGTTGTATGCAATCAGACAGATAGACAGGCAAAGTCAACATAGAACCTGGCATTACCGCGTAACATCTCAAGTTGCCAGACCGTATATCAATACATCAAGTGAGGCAATAAATTCTCCCATCCACTGACATTTAGTGAACTAGTTATCTGTTACTTAGAAACATGCGTGCTTTTTCACACACACGGGAACAATAGATATATTTGCGCCATTGATGTCAATTCTCGGCCACCTTATCTAGGATCTCCAACCAGTAGTGTCTGTGTTGTCATAAGGACTCCAATCCGCAAGTCTATATTCCCCTCAACGGCTAAGATCAACAGTCAAAGATACTATGGAGTAGTGCTGGGTGTTAGTCCAACTGCATGTAACCCTTTTCCGGCAAGAGCCTACTCCGGATAACATTGTGCCACGAGACAGATAATGAATAGACATGTGTGACACATGTTCCAACCACCTCAGTCGATGAAAGTTCATCACCTCACCAACTGAATTTAATCTTCTCCCAAGAACTCTATACTTGACTTCTGTGTGACACCTGGTGACACCATGATATATATGGCCTATGCTACATAGCCAACAGTGGTCGAACATTTGAAGACTTCGTCATATTCTCTACCTTTAATGGGTATGCTTCATAATCATATTGTAGGACAGAATTAAATAAAGCATGGTGCACTCGGCCCTTAATAGACAGCTGGACACTACAACGACGTCACAAATGGCGTATTTTGGCGAAAGCCAATCGAGCCTTTTGTATTCGTGCCGACATTACATAAGTCACTGATCCAGCAGGGCTGATTTGACTTCCTAGATAAGTAAAGTGGTCAATACGCTAAACTATTTTACTCCCTACTGTTAGACAAGGCACCATTGGAAATAAGTTCTGGAGCAAAATTTACATTTGGGTGGCAAGAAACGCATCCTAAACTTTCTCAAATTACGACCCGAAGTGTTCAGAAGACTCTACATCTCGTCAGGGTCTTTAGTTAACAAAACTATGCCATCCACGCATTTCAGATGCATTGAGGATTCTCCTGCGATAAGGTCAATCCGTGTAAACTCAGACCAAGAGTTGGGAAAGACGTCTATAAGTACGTCTATGATAAAGTTGAATAAAGATGGAACGGGGGGATATGCTTGATGAACACCAATCGATATACATAACTCTCTTGAGAACTCATCTTAAACTCTAACACATCCACGGGTGCTTAAGCACAGAGCCTTCAACAGAGTGATGTGCTCACTCGGCACCCGTTTCAGTGAGAGGTACTTCCCAAAGATCTGTTGGTCGATGGAGCCGGATGTCATCTTATAGTGGAGAAACACAGTCATTGTCGGATAGTCTCCATGCGTTTTATAACCGGACGGAGTGTGAATATCAGGTCGACAGAACCATGGCCTGGTTTCCTTAGGCTCGTTGTTCTCGAATCTTAGACACTATATTCGTCAGGTTGGTTCTCCTGTAGCTATCATCTTTCTTGAAGACTAGGACAATCAGTGATTAAGACCAGTCGGGGGGGGGGGGGTGGGGATCATATCTGACCTACACACTACCTAACAATTCAGTTAACCTGACTAAAATTCCTCGACCACTGTCCTTAAATATCTCAGTTACTAGCACGTCTGACCCTGATGGCCTTCTTTATTTCAGGTTACCTACAGCTTTATCAACTTCGTTAAGTGTTGGGGACCTAGTTCAATGTTTCGATCGAACTTGATAGCCAGGAATGGTATAGTAGCTGGAGGCTAGTTAAACTGTTCCTTGGAGAGGTCCACTCATCATTCTAGAAGTCTCCCTTGAGGGCGAATTAGAGACCCATTCTTCTCCGATATAGTCTCACTGACCATCTACATTTTCGCTCCAGTTTTCTTAATAAGTTTAAATAATTGTCTACCATTACTTATTGCTACTGTCTTTTCCATCTTTTAGCTTTCGCTATCGACCACTGTTTGTAGTCATTGTGTAGACTTCTCGTTAGTTTGCATCTGAGTTGCTTCTGCTCTTCATTGTGTTTGGAGCCTGAAACGATGCGTTCGCGTGTACCCATTAGTTTTGAGAAAGCTGGTGAGATCCATTGGCTCTTTCTGATCGCCTTCTGAGAGTCGGCTACGGTTTTTAAAGCTGCAATTACAGAGATGGTGCCAGGTTATCTCTGAGTTAGTGGAGTTAACTGATCAACTATGATTTCAAAGATTGAGATGAAAGGTCAACCAATGACATATGACTTCTAAATGTTCTTTAAACATTCTTATTTACGGCAGCCTGATTAGGCACGTCAAAATACACGATAGCAATACTAAAGGTAGAGAAATAGACACCAGGAGATTTAATCAAAGGCTCTCTGAAAAGAGGAAGAAGCGGTCAAACGATAAGGAGATATTTTAATGTTATGGCTTGTAAGCCTCCGTCGTTGATTGGACGGAATGGATCGGCCACTACTGACATATAGGCTCTTGTGCGGATGTGACGGAGGCTTACAAACTATTACATCAAAACTTTATCATACCAGTTACATAAGAAGTGGCTAATATGACTCAGTGTCCTAGTGGATAAGGCTTTGGAGTTTGAAGAGATTGATTCTTAGCTTGAGCTCTAGTGGGAGGCAGATCCATCTAGTTGATGAGTCCCAATTAAGACAAAACGTGCACCCTGGACTCCACTCCTAACCACTATCCATCGCTGATAACAAGATATGATACGATAATTAAAATTTCGGTAATAGTAGAATTAACTTTTAAAATTCCTCTTCTATGAGGTTGGTTTCGGTTATAAAGTGTATGTTTAACAAATCAATTCAACTTTTATTTCTTTCAGTTGAATTATGATTAATATGCAGAACTATCTCCGTCATCCTCATCACTATGGATAGGTTTAGCTTATAGTACTTAATTCACACTTGGTTGATATTCTACAGGAAAGTGTTGACAACTTGATACAAGTTGTAGTAAATGTAACTCAACAATATTGTGTATACTTGTACACTAGGTAATTCACCACATCTATCAATGATACTAACCAACTTTTGAAACCAAAATAGGTGGAAGGAAGTAAAGTTCGAAACCGTGACCAATTGGTTTAAAGATGAATGCTTAAGCTAGTGAGACACGACTCTACACTATACATAAATATAGTGAATATGAACTGGTATTCACGTATAGTCGTAAGTAGAACTCGATACCACATATTCCTTTGGACGGACACACACACACACAGAAAGCACCTATTGATAAGTGAAAGTCTTGTTGTATGGTGTTGATGCTGAAACAGAGATATATACATTGAATACACTAGTTTTAGTCAAGGTGAAATACTCAGTCATCCATCCATCCATCGAAGTCAACATAGGACCAGGCATTACTGCGTAACGGTCCGAGTTGCCACACCTCATATCACTACATCAAGTAAAAAAGCAATAAAGTGGAAGATGAAGAAAATGAAATTCAGTCAAAAGAAGTATAAAGTACTACAAGAGGGAAACGAAGAATGACAAAATGGTGAGATTAGGTATAGCGTCGTTAAGGCGAGGACAGTGTGTGTATACATCTGCGCCACTGACTTAGGTTCTGAGCTATATCGCCTAGAGTCTCCAATCACTAGTTTTTCTTGCTCTGCGGACCCCAACCGGCTAGTCTCCATCGCCCTACATGTCTCAACCGAACACTCAACGTCTTCATGCAATGATGATATTTCTTAGTCTGGCCGCCGGTAATCCTTTTCCAGCCTGGATCTACCTCAGCTTACATTGTACGAAGAGACAGACTGTGTCTAGACGTACGTAACACATGTTCAAACCATCTCAGTCGATGAAGGTTCACAATGGTATCAACTGACTTACCTCTTTTTCATAAAACTCTACACCTGAATTCTGAGTTGCATTACTCACGTGGTGACACCACGGAATATGGCCTATACTACGAAGGCAACGGTGGTCAAGCACCTGAAGCCTTCTCATGTCTTCCACCTCCGGTCACTAAGCCAGCCACCAGGGCTGATCCTACTTCCCAGGCAAGTGAAGTGGTCGACACAATCGCTACACCCTTTATTGTTAGCCGAGACATACTTATATCTCCCCTTTACTAATCATATGCAAGTGATGCACACCAAACGTACTGACAAGGAAAAACTATAAAGCAACTAATGTCATTCACCACATAAGTGAGTTTTAATATAATACTAGAGTGTTTGGAAAATCGAAAACAAGATTTTTTTTCAAATGTTTAATAGTGTATTCCACAGCTTCTTCAGTAGACTATTCGGATTTTTATTCAACATCAAAATACATACCCTGTTAAATGGTACATGAAGAAATTTTTATCCTTAAACCATTGGTTAGCTGATTTGTTGTTCAGACTGACTATTTCCATCTAGTCACTGTAAATTCATACACAGTCTTTGTCATCATAATAAAAAAAACTGTTGTTCAATGTTTTCTAAACATGCTGAGATTATTTGAAAACGTATTTATATCTAGTGATTGAACCTGACTTAGCGTTGGACGTTTTTCAGGACAATCAAAACAACTATGGTCTGAATGTTTATGATTCTGTTCACATTTATTCAATAACTTTGACTAGATTACAGTTGGTCTCATCTCTTAAGAACTATTTCTTACGTCTATCGTCTTTCATTATCACTAAATCTACCGGCTTAATTCGACCAACATTTACAAACATGAATATACCCTATACCGGTCTCACAAGAAGTGGTTACCATGACTTGATGATCTAGTAGATAACACTGTGGAGTTTGAAACGATCGGTCCCATGTTCTAGTCCTAGGGGGAAACAACATCACTCACTAGGAAGCAAGTACATCCAGCTGACAAGTCTCAAATAAGACGAAACGGGCGTCTTGGATTCCACAGTTAGCCATTATCTATCATAAATGAATTCAGCTTTGTTGTTTTCCATATTTATATTATTTGTTGACTGTGGGATGGGTAATGAAATTTGTCCTATCGTAAAAAACTATGGATGAAACGCTAATTGGTTTACACCATCTTGAAAGTTCAGCTCATTTATTTTGTTTATTTTTCTGTTGAAAAAAATTATCATTTTGACTATCTGAGATATTCGTTTGTCTATTAAGGGTCGCGTGTACTGCACAGCAGTCCGCTCTGTTCTACTATATGGCTGTGAAACATGGCCATTGAAAGTGGAGGATACAAAATGGCTTCAGTGTTTGACCACAGTTGCCTTCGTAGTATAGGACGTATTCCGTGGTGTCACCATGTGAGTAATGCAGAAGTTAGGTGTAGAGTTTTGAGGAGAAGAGGTAAGTCAGTTGACGAGGTTGTGAACCTTCATCGACTGAGATGGTTGGGACACGTACTACGTATGCCTAGTCACCGATTGCCTCGTCACACAATGTTGGCTGAGGTGGGTCCAGGCTGGAAAAAGGCCCGAGGTGGCCAGACTAAAACATGGCACCAATGTATGAAGTCTCTGATTGTTGGTTTAAGCCATGTAGGACGATGCAAGCTACTAGGTGGTTGGGGTCCACGGGACAAGAGGAACCAGTGGTTGGAGACTGACCCTAGGTGATATGGCTGAGAACCGAAGTCAGTGTCGCAGATGTATACACACATTATCCTCATCCTAACAACGCTATACCGAGTCTCACCATTTTGTCACTCCTCTTTCGTTTCTTCTCGTACTTTATATTTCTTTTGACTGCATTCACTTATCTTCATCCTTCACCTCACTACCTTTTTACTTGATGTGCTGATATGAGGTGTGGCAACTTGGACCGTTACGCAGTAATGCCTGGTCCTATGTTGATAATGATGATGATGATGATCTGAGATAGCTGTAGTTTGGTAGACTTATATTGATACCCAGTATGAATACAAGTCTGCCAGATCATGGCTATCTCAGATAGTTACACTGATAATCAATATGATGCTTTCCCTCTACAATTCAGTTAGATTTGGATGGGGATGAGAATTCCTGACTAGACAACAGTCAGTGTGAATACAATCAAGAGGAAGTAACACGTCACGAATTCACATGGTAGTCAGGCATAACTCATGGTGATTGAAGTGAAATAAAGAAGTCTGATGAACAGTCAGACCTCGTAGTCAGTTGGTAGAAGAACATCATGCAAGTAACCTGAAGGTTTTTCGTTCGAATCCTGCTGCAACCCAAATTTTCATGTATCACTTAATTTCAATAAAATCATTTTTGAGATATTGACTTTTTTATATTTCCACATCAGTAATTCGTGATAATTCCAACCTAAACTTAAAAATCGTTCCAAGGAACAATATTTGGATTCAATAAATCTCCTCTACTTGTCAAGAATGTTACAATAATTCGCCATGATTGCACATAGAAACACTTGAACATATACTAGCAACTGATAGTATATAGATAGTAATTAATATGACTTGACACAGTATAGACTTTATATATCACACTATAAAATCTGTATTCATTGTACGAGGCGGTCAAAGTCGAATTAGATTGAGAAGGGATTTGAACATATTTCATCGAAAGTTAAATGTATAATCCAACTAAGCACATATCTACCCGGTATAACTGATAATATGCTGAGATATGGGTTTCAATGATATTCGCCAGAGAAGTATATTTAAGATGTTCACAAAAGTTAATGTCTCCTTTGTCATCAAAGATAAATTATTATTATTATTATTATTATTTGTCCCTTGGGTTCCTAATGCAACATAGGGCTTCAGTAGCATGTCTCCATTCCACTCTCTTCTCTGCCATCTTTTGAACCTGGTTCCACGACTGCCCACAAGCTCTCATTTCTTCCTCACACCATCTCCATGTCACCCTCACCTCGGACGCCCAACTCGTCGCTTCCTATCTGGATTCCACTCGAGGGCCTGGCCTGGCGCGTGATGTCTCCAGTCGGCCTTCTCAGTGTACGCCCAATCCATCTCTACTTTCTTCCACTGCATATTTGTTCAGCGATAGGTTCTTGGTTGGTTCGTTCCAAGAGTGAGTTCCTTGCTGCTTATTCTTTCTGGCCATCTGATCTTCAGTAACGAGTCAGCGTAGGCACTTGTTGATGAATGTCTGTAGTTTATTGGAAATCCCTTTCGTAACGCACCAAGTCTCTCAACCATCACATGGAAGCACTGCGTTGACGTTGGTGTTGAAAATCCTGATCTTGTCCACATGCTGAGTGCAGATCTCCACACCGGTTTCAGGCTTATGAACGCCTGTCTTGCTTTTCCGAGTCTGACTTTGACATCCTCGTCTGTGCCGCCTGTAGTTGAAACAGTGCTTCCTAGGAGGTGGGTGAAGGAGCCTACTTCCTTTAAGTTTCTCCCACTGATGGTGATTGGAGTTTGTTGTTGTTGGTTGGGTATCTTCATCACCTCTGTCTTCCTATATTCACTTGAATTCCCGTCTTCGTTGCCCTGCCTCTTCTTTCAACTTGTTAGTTTTTGCCTGTAGATCTTCAAGTTTGTGCGACATCAGACACAAGTCATCGGCGAAATCCAAGTCTTCTAGGTTCTTTTCCGTGGTCCAGCGTATGACCCTCTTCTAGGTCCTCACTGGTTGTTGCATGATCCAGTTGACCACAATCAGGAATATCATGGGTGATAGTAGGCAGCCTTGTTTCACTCTTGTCTTCACTTCAAAAGCATCACTGAGCTTCCCATTGTGAATTACTTGGCTGGTATGTGGCGTCTTCATATAGTTGTTGAATGAGGCTGATAAAGGTTTGCGGTATTCCGAGAGATAAAATTAAACAAAATTTACTTATACCGTCTTTGGTAAAGTTTAAGGATTGTAAGTGAGTGAAATTTAAAGCAGTAGTACACCAATTTTCCTCCTTTGTTGATATAAGTCAACGAATGCTGAATACCCGACTGAACCTCGATGTTAAATAACAAATACAGCTCCTGAAGACCAATTTCTCCTTAGCTGAATAATGAAAATGCATAACTTTAGACTACAATTACCATATAGTTATAATAAGTGATGACTAGCTTTAGAAAACAAAAAATAAGTAGAAATAGCCTTACCTTTCATTCAAAGCTTGTCGTATTCTATCAGCTAAATTATGATAGGAATCTGTACAGGAAAGAGACATTCCTTTCTGATTTATTAAACGACTAGCAGCTACATCTGCAGGTGTCTGACCTGTAACATTCACAAGATTAATTTTTGTTAAAGGATGTCGAGCAAGAATTGAAACACAGTCAACATGTCCATATTTGCTAGCGAAATGTAGGGGAGTTTCATAGTTCTGTAAGTAATAGATAAAATATAATCAAGAAATGATAATTTTAAAAACAATAAAAAATCAACAATTGACTGAGACCACCACCATTTAATCTTACAGGAAAAAAAAGGAGTTTTTAGTTATCTAAAATGTTAGCAGTAACAATATAGACAATCCAAAAAGAAATAGAAAGTCATAAGCAAGGCCTATTTTTAGTAATGAAGAGATTCATTCTCTGTATTTCGCAAAAACAAAAAAAAGTCAAGTTTTTATCACTCAGATATACTAACTTGGAATAAATGAACATTCAAGGCAAGTGGTAACAAGTTAAACATTCAACTTTGAGACTTGCTTCTTATTAAATCGCATAAACTACATCGTATTATTATTATTAGTCCCTTGGGTTCCTAGTGGAACATAGGGCTTCAGTAGCACGCCTCCAGTGACCTCTATTCTCTGAGATCTTTTGAACCTGGTTCCACGACAGCCCACAACCTCTCATTTCCTCCTCGCACGACCTCCTCCATGTCACCCTCGGACGCCTAACTCGTCGCTTCCCATGGGTACTCCACTCGAGGGCCTGGCGCGTGATGTCCTCAGTCGGCCTTCTCAGTGCATGGCCAATCCATCTCCACTTCTTCCTGCATATTTGTTGCGTGATAGGCTCCTGGTTGGTTCGTCCCCAGAGTTCCTTGTTGCTATTCTTTCTGGCCATCTGATCTTCAGTAGCGAGCCAGCGTAAGCAGTTGTTGATGAATGTCTGTAGTTTATTGGAAATCCCTTTCGTGACGCGCCAAGTCTCTGAACCATACAGGAGCACTGACTTGACGTTGGTGTTGAAAATCCGTATCTTGTTCCGCATGCTGAGTGCAGAAGATCTCCACACTGGTTTCAGGTTAATGAACGCCTGTCTTGCTTTTCCGATTCTGACTTTGACGTCCTCGTCCGTCCCGCCTGTAGTTGAAACAGTGCTTCCTAGATAAGTGAAGGAGGTTACTTCCTTTAAGTTTTTCCCACTGATGGTGACTGGAGTTTGTTGTTGTTGTTGATGGTGGTAGTGCGGTATCTTCATCACCTCTGTCTTCTCTATATTCACCTGAAGTCCCGTCTTCACTGCCTCTTCTATCAACTTGTTAGTTTTTGCCTGCAGATCTTCAAGTTTATGTGACATTAGGCACAAGTCATCGGCGAAATCCAAGTCTTCTAGGTTCTTTTCCGCCGTCCAGTGTATCCCCCTGTTCTCGCTGCCCACTGTTTGCTGCATGATCCAGTTGACCACAATCAGGAATATCATGGGGGATAGTAGGCAACCTTGTTTCACTCCTGTCTTCACTTCAAAAGCATCACTGAGCTTCCCATTGTGAATTACTTGGCATGTGGCATCTTCATATAGTTGTTGAATGAGGCGGATAAAGGTTTGCGGTACTCCGTAGTATTGAAGCATCGTAATGTTGACTTATTCAGTTCACTGAGAAATAAAGAGCATAACTGTGATAACTTTTCGGTTAGTGATCAACAAACGGAAGAAATACAATGACAGCATAAATGTTTATCTAAGTATTTTTCTTTTCTAATATTATCAGCTGGAACTCTTTGAAAGGTAGAAGACGACATAAGATTTTAGGAGATAATTCATCTCAGCGACTATTACTTCACTGATAAACTTATATGTTATCTTCTAAAAAGCATTCACCAACCTTGTTCATATTCATGCAGTAGGCAGTTAGCGACACCTATCTATGTGAAGGTTAATAATACTACTGGCTGTCCATACCTCAGTTAGTGGAGAGTTGTAACTCATTGGTTTAGGCAGTCGACTTTTAACTATTGGGTTACGAGTTCAAACACCGCTCCATTTACCAAGGTTTAAGCAGCTGGATAGTATAATTAGCCTTCATACAATAGGTGTGGCTTACTCTGCCTACTGCAAGAATTTGTTTAAGGTTGCCGAGATCATTTCGTCCATAGATAGAATGAGGTTCAAACTCATGAACAATTGGTTGAAAGTCGACTACTTGCACAGCTGCAATTAGCTAACAGTATACTTTAGAGTAAGCACATAAGAAACATCATTCAACTATTCTTAATAAATGAAAACTTTTGTAATTAACATGTGATGTTTGTCATTTTCTTAATATCCCATACATAAACAAAGATTCTATGAGGCTTCAAAAAGCTGAAGATATACTAACTTAACTGATAATCGATAGTTAGCAACTTACAAAATCCTCCTATTTTGTTATAGTGACATTTTTAAGTTCTTAAGCATTGACTGAAGAGCTGAGTAGTCAATGTTCTTCCTTGCATTATTGAACGACATCATTTGCAATCATGAAAGGATATTAGTTTTTTCGACCATTAAAATAAAAATTTAGATTTATCTGACAGTTTGTTTAAAATATTTAAAATCATAATTTGATCATAAAACAGGAGAAAACTCAAAATTGTATTACATATTTGAGTAATATAAACTTATCTTCATATACACATCTTGTAAGTACAAATGTACTTTTTGTATGTATTTATTCTCGAAAAGTAGAATAGAATAGTCATACAATGTCTAAAATCTTACAACTTGATAAGTAAGCAAGGTCAAAAGATATAACTGATGTGAACACCAATCATTTTATCCAGTATTGTTTTCCTATGAAACTTTAAGAGACTTCATATATAACTTATGACAATATGAAAGTAATATCTGCTTAGTTTAACACCACTTTGAAGATTATGGACTACCTCTACATTTTATCATGTATACGTGAACCAAAAACCTCGCTTGGTGTAACTAGTTCACTAGTTACTAGCCGGTCTTAAGCCTGGATAAAGAGGTAAGGTTGGGCATACGGCTAGCAACCCTACCCCCTAAAACCAATCCAACCGCTAAAGAAACTTCAAAGCACAGGCAAAATATAAAAAATAAAGACAAACTTTCTTCTCGCTGGAATCGGGGAGACGAAATGACGCCGGTTGGTGAAAGCCTTCGGGAAGCCGATTGGTCGATATGTCTTCTCTCGATGAAAGCGAAAGTAAGGATAGGGACATGAAATGTCTGCACTATATTTGAACCTAACAAGACTGCCCAGATTGCAAAAGAGATGAGAAGCCTACGCTCGTTACTGAAGCTCAGATGGCCAGAATAATGAGAATAAGCAACAAGGAACGCTGGCTGGTAACGAACCAACCGAAAACCTGTCGCTGAACAAATATGCAGAAGGAAGTGGAGATGTATTGGATTGGGCTTGCGCTGAGAAGGCCGACTGGGGACATCACGCGCCAGGCCAGGCACTCGAGTGGAACCCAGATGGGATACAACGAGCTGGGCGTCCGAGGTGAGGGTGACATGAGGGAGATCGTGTGAGAAAGAAATGAGAGCTTGTGGGCAGTCGTGGAGCCAGGTTCAAAAGATGGCAGAGAAGAGAGCGGAATGGAGACATGCTACTGAAGCCCTAAGTTCCACCAGGAGCCCGAGGGACAAATAATAATAATAATAATAATAATAATAATATAATAATAATAATAATAATAATAATAATAATAATAAGAGTATGAACCAAATGAAGACTGCTATTAAAGGTAACAATGAACATAATGTGGTGTGACTCAGAGCAGTCTTGCACACCAGACAATATGCCATACCATCTGTGTGAGAACTGAAGCTACTACCTGACCTCTTAAACCTTGGCAAATTTTGCAAGATTCGAACTTGTGACCCACGAGTTGAAAGTTAACTGCTTAAACTAATGGGATACAGCTACAACGAACAACTGAATGCATTCAGAAGAAAGTTTTGGTCATCGTACTTTTAATCACTTAGTCTGACCTTAAGAATGAGTCCTTGATGTAACGATTCCATTTAATTCCGCAAGCACAAACCAAAGGGATGAAATAACCGAATAAACTGAAAAATGAAAAAATTAGTTTGATGAAGAGATGCCATTCTGGGATTTTATCTATGAAGCTATACAACTGCAAATACATCCAAATCCTAGTTTCCTTAGTAGTCATAGCATTTTATCTGCATTTGTGATAGGTAAAGTGAGACATCTATGCCCAATATAATCTTAGATTATGAAATAATCAAAACTTTAGGGATGGTGAAAACATATTTAGATCAGAAAGGAACCACATAACGATTAGAACCTTGGATAGAGTCAAAATGCACTCGGCAACCTTGTACACTTTTGTGCAGCACGCAACGAACTATAACTATTGTATGAAGGTAAATGATACTACCTGGCTACCAAAACCTTGGTCATCATCATCATCATTATCAACATTAGGACCAGGTATTACTGCATAACGGTCCGAGTTGCCACATCTCATATCAGTGCATCAAGTAAAAAGGTAGTGAGGTGAAGGATGAAGATAAGTGAATGCAGTCAAAAGAAATATAAAGTACGAGAAGAAACGAAAGAGGAGTGACAAAATGGTGAGACTCGGTATAGCGTTGTTAGGATGAGGATAATGTGTGTATACATCTGCGACACTGACTTCGGTTCTCAGCCATATCACCTAGGGTCAGTCTCCAACCACTGGTTCCTCTTGTCCCGTGGACCCCAACCACCTAGTAGCTTGCATCGTCCTACATGGCTTAAACCAACAATCAGAGACTTCATACATTGGTGCCATGTTTTAGTCTGGCCACCTCGGGCCTTTTTCCAGCCTGGACCCACCTCAGCCAACATTGTGTGACGAGGCAATCGGTGACTAGGCATACGTAGTACGTGTCCCAACCATCTCAGTCGATGAAGGTTCACAACCTCGTCAACTGACTTACCTCTTCTCCTCAAAACTCTACACCTAACTTCTGCATTACTCACATGGTGACACCACGGAATACGTCCTATACTATGAAGGCAACTGTGGTCAAACACCTGAAGCCATTTTGTATCCTCCACTTCAATGGCCATGTTTCACAGCCATATAGTAGGACAGAGCGGACTGCCTTGGTAGGTGGAATGAGGTTTGAACCAATGATGCAGTGGATACAAAAGGCCTGTTTGGCACTTGTCAACTCGCATCACCTATAACGCTCACTAGAGAGATATCCGACTACCTATTATTTTCTTCTGTCCTACAATACGGCTGTGAGACATGGCCGTTAAAAGTAAGAGACATGAAGCGGTTACATGGTTTTGATCATACGTGTCTTCGTAGCATTCCTTGTGCTTTGCAGGATCATTATGTGAGTAATGTTTAGATCAGTTGAAAGGTACTAGATGAGACGGGCAATTCGACTGATGAGATTGTGAATCATCGTCGACTGAGATGGCTTGGACATGTACTGCGCATGCAGAGCCATCACCAACCTCGAGTTACAATGCTAGGTGAAGTTGGACTAAGTTGGATGAGGGTTCAGAGTGACCAGACCAGTAAGTGTCACTAGTCAATAAAGTCCCCGGCTATTAGTCTGAGTCAAGTGGGGCGATATAGACTGTCTCGTTAGGGTCCCCAAAACGACAGGGATTAATGGCTGAGGGCTGACTGCTAGTGATATACCTGGAGACCGTTCACAATGGCACAGATGTATTCACCCTTTGACGTCTTTCAAAGCTTGAATATTTGCACTTAACTTTATCTTCAGACTTTTTATTATCTCACACAACTTTGTCTACTTTGATATCACTTTTCTTTCATCCACTTGTTCGTTATATGCTACTTTGAAGTGAGGCAACCAGAACCGATGTACCTGTGTGTGAGGTTCTACTTTCATTTTCTCTCTGTCTGTGCAAGTGTCAACTCTCTGAACCAGTGAGCCACAGCTCAACATAAGTTTTGGATATAAGTTCGCACAAAAATGAAAAATTAGATTTGTTTAGAAACACTAAAACAGAAATTATGTAAGAAGTTTCCAGAAAGAAATAGATGACTTGAAATTTAGACTAAAAGAAAAGGTAACTAATTTTTCTGTGTGTGCAGATGTCAAGATATCCCATGTACACAGTTACACCTTTTTCAGTGCAAAGAATATGAAAATGTTTGGATTTTATTAGATTTTTTTATTCCTCTCTTATGGGTTTTGAATGAACAGTATTGGTGATGTCAATGCTTATGGGCTGATTGTTAATAATACTAAAAACATCTTAGTTGTAGCCAATAGAAAGCATGATATTGTTTGTATAAAAGCTGTTACATTATTAAAATAGTCTATTCACCTAATCGTTCAATCTTCAAGTGGATAGTTACAATTTCATAACATTTATGGATAATCTACGTAAGATAAATTCATATTGGTTGCTGGTGAGTTGTTTAATAAAGCAAAATTCAGAGGATACTAAATTGCTATATAAAATTATAAAGAACCTATTAAGGAAATGTGTTTTATGGGAAAATACATATCTCTTGATAAGTTAGAACAAAATGATATCATCATTTTAATTCATGACTATTCTTCAACTGTATACAGTCTAAGAGTACAATGGTTATTTAGCAACACATAAGACAATTTAAAAGTAAGAAGTGAATAATCTTAAGCAATACATCAAAATCACTGGTGATCTACATAATATATAAGAAAGTTGTTAAGAGAAACCAGAAATGTAAGAAAAATCATAGAGTTATGTAATTAAAATGAAATAGGATCAAACTATAATCATCATGGAAGTGAGAGATTAACCACACTCTCCTTTTACACTCAAAGGTCAGATTGAAAGCGTTTTATCGTAATCGCTTTAGCCAATCAACTTTGTGTTTTATATCTATGAGATGCCTGCCAATTACTTTTTTTTCAGGCAAATATTCTTAGGGATATAAATACAAGTGAGAAAACAATTTGAGAACTCACCATCTCAGTTTGCAAAACCTAGTCCCCAAGGCATTTTTAAAAATTCAAACAGGAAGATGACAATGATAGTATGACTTTGATAACCGTTATTGTTGACTTTATTTATTTATAGTGGATAATTGAAGTGATAATGTCAAATCAACTGCAATAAATCACGAACCATACTTAATGTATAAAAGTTGATGTTATTGTGAGACTGTATAACAAACGATACCTGGTGTGAGTTCCAATCATTTAGCCTGAGAATGGAATCCCTATACTACTTAGTTACATTGATATACATATAAATACTTAACATTGTTGACAGCAATAAGAGTGAACTCAATCAGAAATCATTCATGATGCATAAAAAATGGATTAAAGCAAGATTTACTTAGCAAAATTTGAAACAATTCTTTGGAAACATTCATTAAAAGATATTTTATACTTCTAGCCTCCTAATAACTTACTATGGATGAACGTTTATCAATGTACTTCCTCCATCTTTTCACTAACTGGAAAGAAATGTCCACGTTTCCTATCGTGAATACTACACACATAAACCGTATACTGGATGTGAAGCACAGTATCTCTAAATAAGTTCACATGCTTTTCATCGAAGTTATGTCTCCATTGAACTCAGCTATTATTTTCGATTGCAAATACTGGTGTTTAAATGAAGTAATAATCAGAGATAGATGCCAGCGGCTTATTTTAACACAAATACTGTGCAATCCTAAATATATAACAACAAGTGAACCATCAAATACATGTGAATAACTTACTCCAAGTTCAGGACTATTCAAATATAAATCCAGTACATATTGTTGACGCCAATAAGATGCTTCTTTGGTAGCATTTGGATAAAGACGTTGCCAAAATTTTTCACAATCAAAATAATCCAAAAGAAGTCGAAGTAAACCAACATTTCCATTTGCAGCAATTACATGCAGTGCATTGTATCGAAAGCGTATCTTCAAATTAGAATATTTCATGGGAATGAGTGTAAAATAATAAATTGTAACAAAAAATGATCACAATATCATCAAAGTCTTCATAAGAAGTAGGTGATTTTTAAAATGTTACAATTACACATTAAATCTACAGGCTGGATGAGAGATATCAATGGTTTGTTGTTCTCTGAGCCTGGATATTCTGTCACATTTTGCCAACTCCAAACCATTTTTAACTCAAGTAGGTAGTAAGTTACAGGCTTGGTTTATAAGCATTTGCTTAGTAAAGATATGCAAAGATATCGTCAAACGGTTTACCTATATGGATGTTATCTCACCTACCTTAATTAATGTTGTCCATATTTACACAACAAATGAGGTTCATTGCATAGCAGTCAGGTTGATATGACGTTAATGATACACATCATTATATATTTTGTTCATTATTAGGTACAGAAATTCAACTAATGAACAATTAAATTAGCGTCTAATCAAGTCTTACCATGCTGAATCATCTACGACATGTATACTTACAGCCAGTCAAAGGCCTAAAGACTTTAACATAGTTTCAAATTTATAGGAAAGAGATAGTGTTTGAGAGTTTACCGGTTCAAGACAACCGCACACTTCTGACAAATGATGGATTAAAAGAGTAAGTATTCATCAAAATGTTTTTTTTCCAGTTTTCAATATTGAGCTTATCATGTATAGCGATCATTTTATTTTGGTTGGCAGTGAAAGAAAGTGTAAAAAGAACAATTACTGGAAAAATTCACACAAAATTGCAGATAAACAAACCATTTAAATATGCTAATGGAAAAGTAGAGGACTGTAAGATTCTACACAAATGTATGAATCGTTTTTTTACTGCTGCATGACTGAATGATGAAATTGTCTACTGTAGTAAAATTAAGCAGATTTTACTACTGGAATACTCCTTTTAAACGTAAAAAATTTGAATTAGAAGCAAAAGTATAAACTGGTCGTAATTTATATGCATTTTGAAACTCGACCCGCACCCTACAGATGATACTCTAGTCCGTAACTTCTATTCGTAGGAATATTATTTGTTTGAAGGCAGGTTTCCTAGGATGATAAACTTTACTTCTAGGGCCTTCGAGAAATGTTACAGAAAGCTGATATTTTGTGTTACCAACTACTCCTTGTTATTTGCTTGTCAAAACATATTGATGTCTTTAGTATAATTGTTTCTGGATTCCACTGCTAGCCACTATCCATCATTACTATATTTATGTCTGACTATCAATGAGTGACATAAATTGGCTTCTTAAGCATTCACTAGCCAAAAAGTCTAAGTTTTGCTATTACTCTTTGTCTGCTCTGTTCTTTAACAGTAGAATCAACTTTATAAAACCCATCAGATCATGCCTACGTTCCAACAAGTTTGTATTTTGTATAGAAAAACATAGAAACAAACATATCATCCTTAGAATTATTGCATATTCAGTTCAAAAGTGCAATATTTGTTCTATGATATTTTTCGATATACAAGAACATTAAAACTGTGTTCTCCATTTATTTTGCAGAAATTCAATCTTTCAGTGAATTATAGCTGTTTCTCACGCTAGCCACTGAATAGTATTGCATTGATACCATCGGAGGTGTACATATCACTAGTAAGCAGTTCAAAAATCTTGGTAAATTTAACTAACAGTGAACGCTTTAGAGTAAACTGGATGGCCATAAATAACACATGAAAGTTTATGTATACGTTATAATAGAAATTCATTGGCTATGGTTTGACTAACAGTTACAAAGATTAACAAAACAACTCTTAGAAAAAATTAGACTTAGCTGCTGCAAAAAGAATGGCTTCCGCTCAAAATAGAAAGGAACCTTGATTCACTGTAGACATTCATTTTAAATGTCCGTAACCGTATTATACAGAAGTAATGACTGATTATTCACGACCTAATTCTGGTTGACAATGGAAATTCATTAGGCGAAACCTACTCTGCTACATACAAATCACTAGCACACCGGATCTGTGTTGCTGGAAAAGGCCCGAGGTGGCCACACTAAAACATGGCACCAATGTATGAAGTCTCTGACTGTTGGTTTAGGCCATGTAGGACGATGCAAGCTACTAGGTGGTTGGGGTCCACGGGACAAGAGGAACCAATGGTTGGAGACCCTAGGTGGTATGGCTCAGAACCGATGCCAGTGGCGCAGATGTATACACACATTATCCTCATCTTAACAACGCCATACCGAATCTCACCATTTTGTCACTCCTCTTTCCTTTCTTCTCGTACTTTATATTTCTTTTGACTGCATTCACTTATCTTCATCCTTCACCTCACTACCTTTTTACTTGATGTACTGATATAAGGTGTGGCAACTCGGACCGTTATGCAGTAATACCTGGTCCTATGTTGATAATGATGATGATGTTGCTAAGAAAAAGTGGAATTTATAGCTAACAAATTATGCTGTTTGACCTTACAGTGTAAAAACAAAACAACTACGATTTATGTAAATTAAAGCAACACCACTTCTTTCAGCCGATTAACCGGAACTTAGCATTTGTATAACAGTGCTGCTTTTAGTTACTACATTTCTGAACATCACTGGAGACAAAAACCAATCCAAATAACTTCCATGATAAAAACAGGTAACTAGCAAAATTTGAAAAAAACATGTTTTGATTGGGAATAATATCTACGAAAAAAATTGGATCGAGATACACTTCCGATATCCAATTCAAGTCATACACCCTAGGTTCGCCTTGAAAACATTTATTAAGCTAAAACCAAAAATCAAAGTTTTCTAACGCAACTGAAATGGTAATTACTGAAATAATTATCTTGTCATTCAATGAGCTTTCAGTGAAATTAGTGCCAGGAGTGTAGTAAATATCCCATGAGATAGTGTTCAAGGACATAAAAGTTAATCAAGAAAGATATTTTTGACTTTCCATGACTACATAACGAGTGTTGAATGTACACATCAGTGACTTATTAATGATGGATAGTGGCTAGCAGTGGAAACCAAGACGCGTTTCGTTTTATTTGGGACTTATCACCTGAGTGTACCTACCTACCTACCAGGGTGATATTTCTCCTACTACCACCCGAATACAGGATCAATCTTGTTAAAAATCAGAACGTTACCTACCAAGAAACCCAGTCATGGCAGCTACTCCTTCGAGTAGTATAGGTTTGATGTTAATGCTTGTGATTTCCCATCGTCGACTGAATCGAATTGTTCGATTTTTATTAACATAGGGCCTCCCGCATGGATGTTTCAGCAGTCCCAGTAATTTTAGTCTGATAGAAATGACGAGTAATAAGTAGCAGTAGAATCAAGGAGACGCGATTCTTCCTACTTGGGACTTGTCACTTTGATGAACTAAACGGGACATACGCTCATTCTAGGTCCTATTGCCAGGTAATATCTATCATCATTATCGAAATAAAACTAGTGGTGAAACTAAGGCACTGGTGCAGGAGCCCATATGCTAATAAAGGTCGATCAATTCGATACAATCAACGACAGGAAATTACAGGCAACAACATAATGTGACTTATTACCCAAAAGAATAGTATTACCATGATCATCAAACCTACTAGGGCTGCAAGTGCATGCACCGACATCAGACTGCCCTGCTGTGCCTACCTTTTGTTTGACGTTTTTGTTGTGGAAATTTGATACTCAAGTGTGCAGGTAGACAAAATATACTCTAACAGATCCCTGTTACGACCATTATAGTCTGTTAAGTATAAAAAAGAAACACTTCCAACAGTGCTTTAACTTTGTTTACTGTTGATCATAAATTTTCTCCATTCAATTTAAAACACCCTAGATAACTCCGTACGAGATGCATACACTAGATGCATGCGAAGTTTCAATATTTCTTTTCATCTCCAGAAACTTAGGATAGGCAGAAATTACGGGCTGAAACATTGACTTGTAAGTGTAGTTGAGACAGCAGAAACACCTAAAAATGACACTCACCTGCAATATTGTCGGTGTATCACTTGACGTCACCAGGACCATTGGATTTTCATCAATCATTCGTTTAACATCATCAATATTCCCACTGTTGACTAGTGAACGAAAACGAATGAGAGTTTGTTGGCTAACACTAGGGTACGGACTGCTTTCTACGTCAGGTTTTGGCGACTTAATGTTTGTAAGTTAAAAGGTACATCAACTTACAGGAGGATACTGACTAATGAACTTGTCTTCATCAACTGGTGTGCTTGCGTATTTGTTAGCATCAACGTGATTAGAGAATAGTTTCAGCCTGGCACCCTTAATGCCACGTAACTTCAAATAGGCCTTTTTCGGATCGACAAAAACTTCACCAGAGCCTTTGTCTCGTGGAGAGGCTACAGCATAAAAACGAGCTAACAACACTGTGAAACAAGTGTCAATCTTTACCTTCTGACTGACAGTCATAATACTCATCATCAGAATCGTCATATAAGCCACCATTCATATCAAACACATGTCCGCAGTATATACAGCCTTGAGATTGAAATAACGCCACACTACAATATCCCATATCAAGTACTTTTGGTGGACACTAAAGTACATCTCAAGGACATCAACGCACACAGCAGCTGCGGAAGCGTATTAACTAGATACCCCTTGATCTACCACGTCTAGTTATTGCACCCAATATCCAATATTGATAGTGCGAGCGTAGAAAACTGGTAGTTTTTGATCTCTCGCGTCTAGTTCTTAGGGCTTGGTTCCAGTTGTTTGGTTTACTCCTGCAGTGGACGAGGAAATCCCCTCTGCTTTCTTGCTTTTAGCTTCGGTGAGGTGGATGTTTTGTGGGTTAGTAGGTTGTAATTTGTAGAGTGATTAGGGAGCTAAAATCTAGCTAAAATCCAACATCAATAGTGCGAGTAGAGGAAACTTGTAGTTTTTGGGCTCTCGCTTCCAGGTCTTGAGTCCTGTTCCTTTTGTTCGGTTATATTCCTCCGATGGTTGCAGAAGTATTGTATTCTTCCTCGTTACAGCTCTTGAGGTAGTGATTGTCTAGTTGAAGGTATTTTATTTGCTAATTGTTGCTTGGTTTGTTTTGGGAGGGGGATAACGGAGCTGCTTCAAACTTCAAACTTCGTGTTGTAGAATTGGTGAACTGCGGTTCCTTGGGTTCTACGTCCATCTTATCGGAATACGTTCTGAGTTTGGAATGGTCACAATTATCTTCCTGGTTCTGAAAAACCTGAAAGGATAGAGATCGCTAAGCGTTACTAAAAAAGTGACAAAACAGGGCGAGTGGGGAGTGAGAAGAAGAGGAGTGAAAAGTACTTATGAAAAGACAAATGTAAATGGAGGAGGGATGCGTCTTGTTGCAGATACTAGGGTTGGGGAATACAAGGGTGGAAGGGTATGTCATCAGTTGCTACTGGCAAATATTCGTAGTAAGCCATTTGCGTCCACGTACTCACCCAGTAGTCGTTTGAGGGAACTGACTGATATGGCTGTGACCACTTCCTTCGGCAGAGCGTTCCATAAGGCAAATACTCTGTTGGGGGAGTTAGATCTCACCCTCGTCTTCGCCGTATGGTAGGATGTGTGAGTGGGGTTCGCACGGAATTTCCAATTTCGTACCGATAGTGTTGTCTTATTTAGGTGGTTCATTCGGTGACTGATCTTGTAGGCTGTTACCACGCCACCAAGTTTCCTTCGATAGATTGGTGTGAACAAGCTGAGTTGTCTGAGGCGTTGCGCATATGTTTTGTTTGTTAGTCCTACAACCGGCCTTGTTGCTCTACTCTGCACCTTCTCAAGAGTATTTGCGTCTCTCTTCTGTAGTGGGGGGCTATCGTGCTAACCACCTTCGGGTGTGGTCTGAAGTAGGTTTTAGATACCATCAGGGGTAATTCTGGGGTTGGCAGTTCCAGCTGTCCTCTTAGAAAGTGCATAATGGCGTTCCCCTTTGCTGCCACTCCCTTATAAACGCCAGTAATATCCAGTGTGTTAGAAAAGTCTAGTCCTAGCTCCTTCTCTGTGAACACCCTGGTGATTGCACACTTGTTAGGAGCATAGATGATTTTCATCGCCTCTTGCGTGCAAGATACATCACCTCGCACTCCTTCAAGCTAAAGCTTAAGCAGTTTGCGGCTGACCTGGACTCCAGCACTAACAGGTAGTCTTGGAGTACCCTAGGGTCCTCTTCGTCACTTATCGTCCTCCATGTTTTGATGCTGTCGGCGAATTTGAGGATAGATGAGGAGATCTTCATGGGGAGGTCATTTATGAGTGGTAAAAAAAGGACTGGTTCAAGGATCACTTCTTCAGAAGCTCCTGTTCTTGCGTTCCTCCAGGTTGATCGAATTCTGTTTACTTTAGTGCAGAATTCCTTGTCTTCTAGGTATGCCGTTAACCATGCCAAGATATGTTTAGTGACACCCGCTTTTGCAAGTTTGGCAAGCGTGTTGCAGTGTGGGACGCTGTCGAATGCGTTGACCAGGACCAAGAAGATAACGTGAACTGGTGGTTTGCTGTCCCACCTAGTGGTCCAGTCATCCCAAGCGGTCATCAAGTTTGTGACGCATGACCTCCCAGTTCTGAACACTTAGTGGGTGAGATAGACGTGGTTGTTTCCGCCCAAGAATTCCCAGACAACATCTGCAACCAGGCTTTGTAGTTCCTTGGAAAGTACGGGGAGTGATGCTACTGGTCTGTAGTTACACGGGTCTTCTCGGTCTCTTCCCTTGAAGACTGGTGATCGGATGACGCGTTTTCATTTTTTGGGCGGTTGAAGTGCTTCCAACTAGTGCGTGAACGGGTTGCATATGGGTATATTTAGCACTTCTGCACAGTTGCGCAGGTCCACCGGTATTATATCGTCATAGCCCGATCATTTCCCCATTCTCATTGTTAGAAGCTTCGTAAACACTTAGTTTGACGAAATCTTTACGTTTATCGGCATTGTATCGCTGTTCTGAGACTCCGTTACATTACCAGACGTTGATGGCAGGCGTATAACTGGGCTGAGTTGCTTGTCAAATCGGCTACTCAACAGATCTCACTGCCGTTCAAATGCTCTCCAGGAGGCCCTGTGATCAGGTTTAAACCTTTATTCGTCGGCTTGCGTTGTGACATAAACCAACACAGACTTTTCGGAAAGTTACTTAACTGTTTGGCCGGGTTGTTCTTGTATGTATATCTATCGTTACGAATTCGTATACTACATAAGTTGCCTGACGTCTTGTAGCTACAAAGTCTGATACATTAAGTGATGCACGCCACCGATACCGTACCTTCTTCTTCCTCTGTATTTGCCTTTGAGTTGCTCGGGACCCCGAGACCGCTCGAGAAGCGACTGTCTGGTTAATTTAGGAACACTCTTATCGATAACGCTCCGAACAATATCTTTAATATGTATCCAGTTTTCGTCTATCGATGGTGAGTGCCATTCTAGTGGTCATTAGGCCTCCGGTAATTCGTTGTTCATGAGGTGGTAGTGTGCCATTCGGTGACAGAGGGATGCTTCCGGCTCAACCATAGGTGGTGTCTTCTTGGTTATCACAGAGGATATCACCAATGCGTGGGTGCTTTTACCTAACGGGAGGGGGGCTTGAAGAAGATATAGTACACAAAAAGATCACAGTCGATTAGAAAGTAGTCCAGTGGTGATTCTATTCTCTCAGGTGGAATCTGGCTTTTTCCTAGCCTTATCTATCAGCCCACGGCCATAAAGCAATTGGAAGTTTGTGTTCCTAAGATTTATGCCCACATATTAATTCGCAGTCCGCGTTGATTGCCAGCGCGTTAAATAGGCTAAAAAAATCGATTTCAAACACAGCAGTCCGGCTTCATTCACTTTGCATTTTTGTCAGTATCGCACCTTTTTAAGTATCGGTGTACCGTTAGCTGAATCATTCTTGTTCATTTCAACAGCTTTTTGTCCCCGATGACGTTCACCTTCTGTACCGTTGTAAAATGTGGTGAATAGGTCCAATATGCCTTTTGAAAATACCTAATATTACCACCACAGCAGTTCGGAGTTATCAAATGCAAATCTCATACGTTAATTTATCCATTTGAAATAGGCCGTTCAGCAGGATATACCACAACTTATGAACTAAGTAATCGGACTGAAATGCACTCAGCAATCAGTCGCACGTTTGTGCAGTAGACAAAGAGCTATGCATGTTTTGTCGGATCTGTTTCTACTTGGTTGCCCACATTCTGGTAGGTAGGACAGAGTTCGAAGTCACCACCAACTGGCTGAAAGTTGAGTACCCGAACCAATGAGCCACAGTCCCAGTAATACCATTCTGTGGCTACCAAACTGGATGCAGAGAAAAGGGTCCCAGTTTCACCATCTTTCCGCCTATTGATTACGCATTGGTCTTAAAGTTACAATCTACAGGCAATTTATTACAAAGGGCGAAGAAGCAGATTGGATAGAAATAGATTTTGCCATCCCTTGGACAGCTAACTAGAAACAAGTGACTTACTTACTGAGTTTCAGTAGGAGTTAAAATAGGAGTAGGAGGTAAAATAATGCAGAACTTCTTCAAAGCTGTACCTTTGAGGGTAAAACGCGGGAATCCTCTTGAAAACCTAGTAGTTTTGGTCACGTATGTTGTGGAAATTTACTGATCAGCACGAAAATTAGGTTTAAGCATCGGACTCGAGTTGAACAGTGTGTGACTAACTACTAGACTATGGGATTTTAAATTTAAGCGGTGAAACGGTTAGCAGTTAAGGAGTAGATAATTTCTAAGTGTTACCGTGCACACTTTTATGCTGAAGTCCAACCCTGTAGGGGCTTCGTATTGTTGATCCCAATCACTTAAGAAGAGATATTCATGTGGAAGCTATCAGAATTGACAAATGATGTGGGAAAACCATACGGAACATAATTATTATTGACTAAGATGTGTATATGCTTGAACAATCTTGCCAAAATTCTTGTTGGCCAGCATATATGATAGATTCAACACCCAACATCGATAGATTGAGGATTGAAAAAGCGAATGCTTTTCGGTGATCTTGTAGGCCATGATAAGATGATTCAAGAACACTAAATGAGTTTTTTAATGACGGCGGGATTTGTAGGTCCACATTTAATTGAAATGGAATTTAACAAATATCAAAAACCGGCTCACTTACTGGTGATCCTAGGTTCCTTTTGTTCAGACTTGTTTGTGTCCGTTTCTTCATTTGGGGCTTTGTCATTGCCTTCAGCCTAGTGCCTGACAGTTCTACTGCAAGACACCATATGTCAGTTCAAATAGTTTATTTTCTTCAGGTGATCTTGGTAAACAAATAATGAATAAGTCTTTTGCTCTCAACTTAAGGGTTTAACGTGACAGAAGCCAATTTGCAGGCATCATCAAGTTGATAATGGTGGAGAAATCTCCATTACTTGAGCTGTCCCAAAGTATGCGGAAGGCATCACGTCAGGATTTCTCATCATATCACTAGTGACTGCAGGTTATGGAAGAGCAGAAAAATACCACTTCACAGTACATGTAGATTGCTTATGAGTTTCCGTCGTCTCCACTCACCATTCTTTTTTACATTAAAGTGGCATCAAAATCGTACAATATTCGACCTTTGCGTTACGCGCGACCGAGATGCTTAACCTGGAGACATAGTTCAGTGTATCGTGAGATAAA